TATTAGTCAATCACAAAACATATCTTATCTGTTTCTTCCCAGGGACACTGAACCACAGAGAGGAGATCAGCCAGACAAAGTTAGAGACGAATTAATGCTTAATATATATATATATATATATATATATATATATATATATATATATATGTATGTATGTGTATATATATATATATATATATATATACACACACACACACACACACACACACACACACACACACACACACACTACCAGTCAAAAGTTTTAGATCGTTTTTTTTATGTTTTTAAAGGAAATCTCTTCTGCTCACCAAGGCTGCAATTATTTGATAAAAAAATACCAAAACAACAACAACAAAAAAAAACCCCAGTAATATTGTGAAATATTACAATTTAAAACAGCAATTTTCTATGTGAATATATAGTGAAGTGTAATTTATTCCTGTGATCAAAGCTGAATTTACAGCATCATCACTCCAGTCTTCAGTGTCACATGATCCTACAGAAATTATTATAATATGAGCTCAAGAAACATTTATGATTATTATCTATGTTTAAAACAGTTTTTTACATTTTTATTTCAGGAATTTTTGATGAATAGAAAGTTCAAAAGAACAGAATTGATCTGAAATGGAAAGCTTTTGTAACATTAATCACTACCATTCAAAAGTTTGGGGTCAGTAAGAATTTATTTTTTATTTTGGGGGGGAAGAAATTAGAAAATACTTTTATTCATCAAGGATGACTTAAATTGATAAAAAGTTACAGTAAAGACATTTGTAACAATCTGCATTTAAACTCTTTGTTTTTCCACAGATATATCACTATAAACGCACAAGGGGATCTTTAGAATGTCAGCAATAATCAGAAAAATACACTTCAATCGTAACACATTCTCAATATTTTCTTCATCAAATAACCATGCTCAAGCACAAATGCATGGAAGTTTTTTGAAAACACACTGTACCAAAACAAATCTTCAGACGGCGCTGAAGATCACAAAAAAACAAAACAAAAAAAACAAAAACAAACACCAACAAGCAAAAAACAACAAAACAAAACAAAACATATCATTCCATTCATTTGCTTGACGCGCTAAACGCGTATATTATGAAAGAAGAATCGTCCCGTGCGTGCAACCCCACAATTTCCCCACTTCTCTCTGTCCCAGTCCAAAAACAAATGTCCAGTTTGGCTCAAGATCGCGCTACAGTCTTTCCAACCAAGTCAGTTCGCGAGAAATTATCCTCTGTTGGCTTCTTGACAATAAACGTAATCCACAAACAAAAGCCTTGACTCTCTGGTGTTCCACTCAAAAAACAAACAAACAAACAAAACCAAAAAAATTAAAAAGTAATGAGTCAGATCTCACCAGCTCTGTAGATCGTCGGACAATATTAACTCACACAGTTATGAAACTTGAGTCCAAGCACGTCCTCTTGCTGGAAACGCGCACCCCAGTACAGTCCGGGTGGTTAAAATTTATGTTGTCCCATTAAATCCTTTACGTTTCGATTGGAATCTCTCAGACCATAAGGAAAGCTTTACTCTTTAACGCTGCAGCAAACAATACTGGCACGCCATTTTTTTCAAACATCCCTCACCACCATTAAAAAAACTTATGTGCGCCTTACCCCGTAATCAAGAGCGTCCGAAACCTTAAAGGGATATCCACCTCTATTACCAAAATACACTGTAGACACCAAGTATATTAAAGAGCCCCTATCATGGATTTTTGAAAATTCATGAAAGTTCATGTAGTGTGGAATATAGCTCTAAGGGAATGAAAACATCCTACAAAGATTTATATCTGAAAGTGCACCGTATATAAAGTTATAGTCTTTCAAAAGTGAGAGTCGACTCTGAGTCTATAAAATGAATTGTTTTTGAAACGAGTCATTAGCTGTTACATCGTGACGCAGATACAAAACATCAGCTCATTGGCCGCTCGCAACAACTGCGCACGCAGACGGAAGTGTAAACTTGAAGTCTAGAACACATTCAAATACTTCAGCAGAATCGCATCATGTCGAGGAGACGCTGTTCTACATTGCAAAGACAGTTCAGCCACTTGTTTCCATTGTCCAGGGACGAGCATGTGAAGAATCAGTGGTCAGAGTTCATATTTGCAGTGATACCACAACAGTATAGCCCGAACCTTGTGTTCTCATCATTTTAATGATGAATCGTTCAAAAACATAAATGAATTCAAATGTGGATTCGCAAGCCGGTTGTTCCCGAACGAGGGCTCAGTATCCAGTGTATATGGATCAGGTTCGTCCTCCGAATCACAATCTGTAAGTATTATTAATAATGCTTGCTGTTATGTTTTCTGTAGCATGTACACTATAGTTATATTGTGTTGTGTGTGTTGTGTACACTCCGCGCAGCTTCTAAGCGGGGTAAAGTTAGTTTTGTTTTTGATATTCACCAGACATTCACTGAAAAATGGCAATTACCTCCTAAACGACTTAGCCAAATCTGACTTTGCTCTATATAATAAGCACTGCCCCTTAAAGCCGCCGCAATGTGAGTTTCGGCGGGAAAGCTCGCTCTTGACGGAGACGTGAGTAAGGGGCCGTGTGGAAAGTGCACTTTTTCTGACACGTTTGTTCAAACACTATATACAATTTTCAACACTTGACGAGCTATAATCCTGGTTATGGGCGTCCCGTTGCCGACAGTCTCTGTCTACGGTTTACCAATAACAACTGACTGGGTCATGTGACCAATCGCCGCAGATTCGCATCACTCAAAGGAGGTGTTTGGGAAAATGACTCGTCGAACGAATCATTTGGGAATCGTTGGTCAAATCGGGTAAAAATAAATGCATATTATAAGACAAATAAAGTGTTTTTTTATCCTTGCATGCACGTTAAACTGTTTTTGGGAACTCCCAAAACAAATATAGGAAAATGTTTAAATGCTATGATAGGGGCTCTTTAAACAGGAATACGTATGAACCATATACATGACATTCATCATACATGAACATTATCCATAACCCATGTAATACGTTCTATGATCCCATAATAGTTTAGCCAAGAAATTATTTTGCAGCAAAGTGCTAACATCTTGATGTAGGTCTGGCATGCCAGGCTAATAACAGTTAATATCTCAAAGAAACCTTTACATTCATGTGATAATATTACACATTTATAATGTTAGAAAATATTATATTTTAAATAAATGCTGTACTTTTGAACTTTCTATTCATCATAGAATTTTTTTTGGGGGGGGGGGGGATGGTACAAGACTGTTTTCAACATTGAAAATAATAATTTATGTTTTTTGAGCATAAAATCAGCATATTAGAATGATTTCTGAAGGATCATGTGACACTGAAAACTGATGTGTAATCAGCAACAGTAATGATGTTGAAAATTCAGCTTTCAAATTACATTTTAAAATAGAAAACAGTCATTTTAAATTGTCATAATATTTCACAATATTACGGTTTGTCATTTTATTTTCATCAAATAAAGCAGCCTTGGTGAGCAGAAGAGACTTCATTAAAAACATAAAAAATCTTACTGATCTAAAACTTTTGACCAGTAGTGTATATATATATATATATATATATATATATATATATTATATATATATATATATATATATTCTAGTGTTACAGGCAAGAATATTTGTGCTTATTTTGCTATTTATTGTAATACTTTTGCATGAGGAAAGGACCAAAGTTTTGTAATATATTACATGTTTGACTTGATTTTATATTTGTTAACCAACTTTCTGAATTAGTATATCTTGGACTTGTATGTTTAGTCTATTGTGATACTGTTGAGCAAACACACACACACACACACACACACACACACACACACGCACACAAACACACCCACACACACACACACACACACACACCCACACCCACACACACAAATAAATTCTGAATAGGCAGTTGTTTCTCACATTTCTAAATTATAGACCTGTTAGCAATCAATCATCTACAGTCTAATAACAGTATAATCATACTCCTGCTCCTATTTCTGAATATTGCTCCATGATGAAGTATTGATCTAAGTAGTCTATGTAAGTAATGTTGTTAATAAAAATAATTTTATGATGTATTCTATAATAAGGCTTTGTTTCAAATGGATGAGAACTATAGCTTATAGTGTGTTTTTGCTGTGAATGATGTGGATGTGTGTTCTGTGTTCATCTAACCACGGCTGCTGGGCCGCATGTTCAAGGGTATCTCGCCTTACACATTTACATTTACAGTTACACATGGGTGCTTTATGCAGAGAGTAATAAGTATTTTACAGGTATTTGGTATGTGAAAGATATAGACAATATCATTTATAATATATACATGAAATGATGTATTGAAGCGGATTAAGAGGAGTTTTTAGCAATACAACAAAACTAATGTGGCACTGCATTATTTTAGGGAAAACGGCACGCACAATTTTATCTGTAAAAGGCCAAATAGACAGAAACAGTTTGTCGATAATAAACAGTATAAAACTGGATAGAAACGTGTCGTCATTTCTAGGTCTAGTTCATTATTAGTTGTCTTGGTTTCTAATTAGTTCTCTCCTGTTCCATTAATGTTCTCCTCTGTCCTAATGTCTCCCTTCTGTACATTGAAATGATAATGTTTTTATGAATGCCGTAGTAGTGCAGTGTCCCTCTCATTAATATTACACTCATTGCTTATGGGTAATATTTCAGATTTGTTGATACGAAAATGGCAAAAATATACAGTTAATTTTAGGCCTTTTCCCATTATTTATTGCTAAATCAGAGCCCAACTACAGGATTATGGTGTGTTTTGAACAGAGACACTTCTGATGATGCTTTTAATCACAGATATTTTTGTCCTCAATCAATGGCTATAATGTAGGCTATCTTTTAGGTTTCATCTATATGTAAATTTGACCAGAAAGGGCATCAACATAATCTTTAAAATTATAAAGTAAATAAAATAAGTATTTCTTTTAAAGTATAAAGCAAGCTCATATGAAGCAAACTCCTCCTTAGCAGTTCTTCACAGTCCACCACACACACACACACACACACACACACACACACACAGATACGCCATAAGCGCGATCAGACGTCCTCATCAACAACTCATTTCAGGTAAAATATTTTATGCATCAATTGACATCTATAGTTAATTTATTACTAGTGAATCTCTGTGTAAACTGTTGTTCATTTATTATCATACTTCGGCACATACAATTATATTTAATAGTTTTGCATTTGTTTGGACATTAGGCAAATATAAAAGATGCAATCATGCAAAATATTGTGAACAGAGTAAATTTGAGGAGAGGACGACGTCTATAAGTGAATGTGAGCCTTAGTAAAGCAAGAATCACGGTTTAATAACTCTGGACAAAGGCATCAGATAATGCTTTAATCATAAATACTGTACTGTCCGTGAAATAAAAAACATTAAACAGCGATGTTTTTTTAAGTTTATTTGAATAGGGACAACTATGTCATGTTCCATATACTACATTTTAGCCGAGGCTAATTCTCAATGTTAGTCCCTAGTGGGCCTTTACATAAAATTAAACAATAAAATTAAACAATAAAATAAACAATAAGTTAAAATAAGCACAATAATACAGTATAACACAATATAAACGCAGCGGTCACATTTCTGACCTCTGATTAAAGAGTCTTTGAGTTTGTGTTTGAAAAGGACCCAGTTTGACTTCAGTGGGTAATCTATAGCGGCTGTTCAGAGAAAGCTCCTCTATCCCCGAACCCACAGCCCTGAGAGCAACTACTGATTTAAACATTTATGCATCAGCTTCAACAGAGAACATTTAGTGAAATTTACAAAAGATAACATATTTAAATTCCTCAGACTAACACAATGATGTGTCCTGATGGGCTTCTAGGACTGTAACCGCTCTGTTAATAATCATCTGAAGTGTTTTAACTGCAGTAACAGCAGCTGTGAGCGTGAGCAGACGCAGTAACACAACGCTAGAGAGTCCCGATCAGTCTGAATGTATAAAGATTTGCTTTGGTTTCGACAGATTTTTTTAATATGATTGTCCAATTTAAGTGGAGAGTCAAGTACAAGGCCCAGGGGTTTGACCTCTGAGACCTGCTGGATCATTTATCTGTAGATTTAGTTGTTCTGAAATGGACTTGGATCTTGAGGCAAAGCAAACAGACATAGTGTTTTAACATTTAATGTCAGATCTGCATTTTGAAACCACACCGCACAGGTATTTTGCTACTTCATCAGAAACTGCATGCAAAACCACTAAACCATATCATCTTTCCCTCGCTCATAAACCACTGCATCGTCTTTCCCTCGCACATAAACCACTGCATCGACTTTCCCTCGCTCATAAACCACTGCATCGTCTTTCCCTCGCACATAAACCACTGCATCGACTTTCCCTCGCACATAAACCACTGCATCATCTTTCCCTCGCACATAAACCACTGCATCATCTTTCCCTCGCACATAAACCACTGCATCATCTTTCCCCCGCACATAAACCACTGCATCTTCTTTCCCTCGCTCATAAACCACTGCATCATCTTTCCCTCGCACATAAACCACTGCATCGTCTTTCCCTCGCTCATAAACCACTGCATCGACTTTCCCTCGCACATAAACCACTGCATCGACTTTCCCTCGCACATAAACCACTGCATCATCTTTCCCTCGCACATAAACCACTGCATCATCTTTCCCCCGCACATAAACCACTGCATCTTCTTTCCCTCGCTCATAAACCACTGCATCGTCTTTCCCTCGCACATAAACCACTGCATCGACTTTCCCTCGCACATAAACCACTGCATCATCTTTCCCCCGCACATAAACCACTGCATCTTCTTTCCCTCTGAGACCCGCTGGATCATTTATCTGTAGATTTAGTTCTTCTGAGATGGACTTGAATCTTGAGGCAAAGCAAACAGACATAGTGTTTTAACATTTAATCTCAGATCTGCGTTTTGAAACCACACCGCACAGGTATTTTGCTACTTCATCAGAAACTGCATGCAAAACCACTAAACCATATCATCTTTCCCTCGCTCATAAACCACTGCATCGTCTTTCCCTCGCACATAAACCACTGCATCGACTTTCCCTCGCTCATAAACCACTGCATCGTCTTTCCCTCGCACATAAACCACTGCATCGACTTTCCCTCGCTCATAAACCACTGCATCGTCTTTCCCTCGTACATAAACCACTGGATCGTCTTTCCCTCGCTAAAAAACCACTGCATCGTCTTTCCCTCGCACATAAACCACTGCATCATCTTTCCCTCGCTCATAAACCACTGCATCGTCTTTCCCTCGCTCATAAACCACTGCATCGTCTTTCCCTCGCTCATAAACCACTGCATCATCTTTCCCTCGCTAAAAAACCACTGCATCGTCTTTCCCTCGCTCATAAACCACTGCATCGTCTTTCCCTCACACATAAACCACTGCATCGTCTTTCCCTCGCTCATAAACCACTGCATCGTCTTTCCCTCGCACATAAACCACTGCATCATCTTTCCCTCGCTCATAAACCACTGCATCATCTTTCCCTCGCTCATAAACCACTGCATCGTCTTTCCTCGCACATAAACCACTGCATCATCTTTCCCTCGCTCATAAACCACTGCATCATCTTTCCCTCGCTCATAAACCACTGCATCGTCTTTCCCTCGCACATAAACCACTGCATCATCTTTCCCTCGCTCATAAACCACTGCATCATCTTTCCCTCGCTCATAAACCACTGCATCGTCTTTCCCTCACACATAAACCACTGCATCGTCTTTCCCTCGCTCATAAACCACTGCATCATCTTTCCCTCGCACATAAACCACTGCATCATCTTTCCCTCGCTCATAAACCACTGCATCATCTTTCCCTCGCACATAAACCACTGCATCGTCTTTCCCTCGCTCATAAACCACTGCATCGACTTTCTCTCGCTCTAGGATTGAGGACGGAAGCCAACTTGTAATGGGTGTAAAATGTTATTTGATCGTATGAAAGCCATAAGATGACCATACACATTCTTGAAAATACAGGTCAGAGACTTACGGGTCGATAACTGCATGTCTGGTCAGGTGTTCCTGTCTTCAATAATGGCATAACCTTTGTCTGTTTCTGAGGTGTGGGGAATAGTCTGCTCTGAATAGACAAATTGATCAAGTGTGTCAGCGGCTTTACAAAAGTGTTTTTATTTAATAAAAAAGACTGAATTTATGTGAAAAAAATCTTTACTATAACTGTTGTTAACTGAATGTATAGCTTCAAGCACGTTTGCTTCATTGGTCTGCTGAAGTGATAATGGAGAATATTGGATTATTGATTGATGTTTACTGAAGTTTAGTTGCTGTTCTGCATTAACTTGTTGCTCCAGTTCTTCTACAAAAAACCTATTAAATTGCAGTGCTATTTGTTTACTGTCTCTAATCTTTCTAATCTTCATGGATGATCTTTGATTTTCCTGACAGTTTCACAACACCATTTATTTGCTTCCACATTATAAGTTGGCTTCCATCGGCTTCTGTTATTGTTGTAATGTAGGACTCATGGAGTGAGCTATATGAATGATTAATTACAGGTGAAAACCTCCTACAATGGAGACCAGCAAGATCCTCTCGTCTGATAAAGCTACAGTGGTCATCCAGGTGAATCCACAGGTGACTCAGCATATTGTGAGCGGAGATGATGGACAGGAGAGCCGAGGAGCACACCGCAGTACGGCTCTGACTGGGTTCTCCAAAGCACAACCGAAGGCACTGGGGGTAACGCATTAATGAAGAATTATAATTACGGATATTTTTAGTGTCTAATTTACTTCTGTGTAAAACATTAACAGAAAATAAAAAGCTGTTATCATATGACCTCAAGTTCATGTGTGTGTATGTGTGTGTGTGTGTGCAACACAGTCTCATGAAGATGCGTATCTATACCACGAGTGTCATTTCTCGTGGCATTTATACGCCAAAAGTGTTTTTTTCGTGTATATGGTACGCACTAAAAACCCTGGGTTAGGTTTAGGGGGGAGGGGGGTGGGGAGTTCGTGCGTATTATACGCAAAAAAGTGCGTATCATATGTACGCGACAATCGCCTGCCATATACACGCGAAAACTGTTTTTGGCGTATAAATGCACGAGAAATGACATTCGTGCCATACATACGAACTTTCATGAGATTGGGCTGGTGTGTGTGTGTGTGTGTGTGTGCCATTATGAAGAACAGTACTTGACTCACATCTACCCTGTCTAGACTGTCCAGATAATGATTGGAGTGGTGGTTTTTTCATTGGGTATCATACAAACCATTACCTACCGTCACTCACGTATCTCTGTCTGGAGTGGCATCACCTACTGGGGATCCCTTATTGTAAGTGTCATTTAATGGTTTACTTTAAAGCCTCTCTTCTTCATTACCAGAATGAACTGTGAAATGTCCTGTTTCTCTCAGTTCATCAGTGCTGGATCTCTGTCTGTTGCTGCACAGAATAAACTTCATCTGTGTGTGGTATGTACATAACGTGCTGAAATCTTTTCTTAATGTTTGTAATGTATTCATACACTATTATTATTAAATCATCACAAGCTGTCAAACACAGCATCAGTCCAGATATCATCATCTGTTATTAGCAGCAAAGCATTAACCCGTATGTGCTGTCGGGGTCTGGGAAACTCCAAACTCTATAGAAGACTTTTCGGTAACACTTTAGAATACGGTTCCTTCGTTAATGAATAACTACACAAGAACTAACGAGTAACACAATATTAACAATCTAGTAACTATTATTAACTAACAAGAAACTCTGATTAAGGAACTAGTAAGTAATAGCGCACAGACGAAAGTGGTAGTTCACTATTAAGTAATCAATAACTACTATTTTTTTAATACTTCCCAGAGAACTACTGAAAAAGTTTATTAATAATCTAGTAACTACTATTAACTAAAAGAAACTCTTATTAACGAATTAGTAAGTAATAGCTCACAGATGAAAGTGTTACTAGATACTTCTGTGGGAATTACTAATTATTTGGATCCGTATTATAAAGTGAAGATCATTGGAATTAACTAATTACTCAAGTGTTACTACATGATCTAGTCATGATTTGTGCAAATGTTTGAGAATTTTGGTGAACTTTAGTAACTTTTAGAAAATGTCTTTAGTAACACTTGATTAATTACTAGTTAGTTCCAATGATCTTGAATATGATACGAATCCAAATAATTAGTAACTCCCACAGAAGTATCTAGTAACACTTTCATCTGTGAGCTATTACTTACTAATTCCTTAATAAGAGTTTATTTTAGTTAATAGTAGTTACTAGATTGTTAATAAACTTTTTCAGTAGTTCTCTGGGAAGTATTAAAAAAATAGTAGTTATTGATTACTTAATAGTGAACTACCACTTTCGTCTGTGCGCTATTACTTACTAGTTCCTTAATCAGAGTTTCTTGTTAGTTAATAATAGTTACTAGATTGTTAATATTGTGTTACTCATTAGTTCTTGTGTAGTTATTCATTAACGAAGGAACCGTATTCTAAAGTGTTACCGACTTTTCTCACACTATATCTACAGAAGAATACTGAAGTGGTGTCGGACTGGATGTTAGTGGGACACAAAGAAAGTGACACTCAGGATGTTTGAGGCTCTCTAGACACCACATAAGTGAATATTGTGTGTGTGTGTGTGTGTGTGTGTGTTGAATGAAAGTGAGAAATGTAGATCTGATGATGTAGATTTTTCATCAAAATTAGCTATTCTGTATGAATAATTACAAATTGAGGCAAATAAGTTTTAAAAATGCCATAAATCCCCCGAAAAACTCTCCTTTACCACAGTAGTTAGAAGCTTGCACATTAATCTCAGCTTTCTTATAGAACAATGACACAGTTTTACTATTGAAGGAATGTGGACTAAAAGGAGATCTGACTCAATATCAATTTACATATTTAAAACCTGCAGTTCAGGACATTTTTTAAGTGTACACCTTTACTATTACGATCACCCTTCACATGTCAGTTTTGTCCCTGCAGGTGAAAGCCTCTCTTATAATGAATGTGATCAGTGCCATAACTGCAGCGACCGCCGTTGCTCTGATGTCCATAGAGATGGCAATTAAGATTTACGATCTAAGGTGGCGCTATGGCAGTAATTCTTATTACTATTATTTGAAGGTACTAAATGTAGGCCTACAATACTATATTTATGTGATCAGTTTATTTTTTTTTTCTTTAAAGCCACAATATGTATTTTTTTTGCATTAAAAATAGCAAAAATAACTGTATCTATGTTATATATTTCTGTTAGATATGTACTTACATTATCCCGACAGTTTCCACCAAATTTCAAATACGGAGAAATTTATAGTTTAATTCGAAGACACGGGACGTTTCTTTATTTCCGTTTCGTCGCCCGTCTGTGGCGTCATATAACCTTTGACTCCTCTATTTTCTCTAACTTCCTTGCGGAACCCGGCGAAACCGCCAAACACAAAGGGGAACACTGGACTACCGCCAATAAAGCAAAGAAAATGACGAAGAAAAAAAAGTTGTACGTATTTTTATGTGTGTAAATCACGTGCCCGCTCACGAGCGCTCACTCTTAACAGACACGCTGTACCCGGTGCTGCTCGCGCATAAAGCGCTCCCCGTTCACAGTAACCGTGTCGTCTCATTCAAAACAACCAACTGTTGCTGTTAGCGAGCCGCGCACATTGAATACTCATATGAGTCAGGCTGCGAATGTACGTGCCCGCTTCAGCTCTCTCATGCTTACTAAATAAACGCCTCACCTCCGGCGCCTAGCACTCACTACATTCCCTTTAGCCTTTAGCACATAGTGGATGAATAACGCAAACCCAGTCAAATGTTTGACTGCAGTATCTTATGTGCTTTATAATCCGGTGCGCTCTATATATGAAAAATGTTCTAAAATAGGTCATTCAATAAAGTAGCGTAATATTAATATTCGTCTGTATAATAGTTATGGACCACGATTACGCTTTGCCTGCACGTTCTGCTGCTACAGCCAGCTCATTAGCTAAAGCTCAAACGTACGGGTGAAACATATGACCCGAGAAGGGTTTGGGACAGGAGAAGCATGACAACGGGTAAACATTGGGGTTGCATTTAAAGCTTCTTGACAAGCTAAATCTACAGAGAGATGCCGTATATCCGTATATTTTGTGAAACGATGATGTCATGAGCTGAGCTGGTTGTCATTGACAGCGACAACAACTCCCGTGAGCCCACGCTCTTTCCCGACGTCATCAAAGTACGTCTTTTGTTATTATTTTAAACGAGTGACCCCTGGTGGCCAAAAATCGCATACTGTACGTTTAATTGCTGTTCACCCAAAAATGACAACTGAGTCATCATCTACAAATTGAGACCAGTTTTTACTAATAAAGATTGTCTTTTCCATAGAGTTATAATGACTAACAACTCCTAATTGTGTTTTAAATTACACAAAAGGCATCAAAGATGTATCATAAAAATTACAAATTAATCCATGTGACTTGTGCACTCAACCTCACACAATATAATCGACTGGATATTATATGTAATCTACTTTTATCTGATCTTGTTGAATATATTTTAGGACTATGATCTGGGAATCGTTGGACTAATGCTGGTGTTCACCGTTACTCAGTTCATCATCTCCATCTGTGTCTCAGCATTCGCCTGCAAGGCCTCCTATAACTCAGACTCTGCAGTGATCAATGTGGCACTAAACCAGGTACACGATTAGTGGAAATTATGTCATTTTCTAACTATATGTCATGATTCTGCCTTCTTGTCTTTGATTTTCTCTAGTCGTGAGGCAGGATCATGACAGAATCATGTTTTGTGGAAAGCGCATGGCCAGTTTGGGCCATGTGCTTGTGTCGTCTCGTTACGTTACCCCGCCCCCTTGTTATCCCTGTCTTGTCATTATTGTCTTGTCAGTTTCACCTGTCCTCGTCATGACCTACCCCTGACCCCGCCCCTAAACATAACCGTCACGTGGGTTTAGACAAATCGTACAAATTTGTATGAGTGAGGTTACGAATTAGCCACTTTTGAATCATTCGTACGAATTGGTCGTGAGATAGGGTAGGTTTGCTGTCCTGTGCCGGTTCATTGTGAAACATTGTGTGATCCACTGTGAGTATTTGTCATTAGTAATGTCCAGAGAGAAGTTCTGATTCTGTGTTTGCTGTTTTGTTTACTGTCTAGTTAATTGTCAGTCATAGACTAGTTTAGTCACTCGTTGTCCTGTTCATGTTTTGCCCCCTCGTGGGTATTTGTTTTCCCTGTTTACTGTTCTTAAATAAATCGTGTGTCTAGCAATCTGTCTGTGCTTGGGTTCATCCTCCCACATCATAACACTACAACCAGGGTGACAGTCAGTTTGATCCCAACAACAAGTCTTTTATTTTTAAATTTAGGTTAAAAAAGCCACAACCAACCACTATATATATATATATATATATATAAATGATGTGTAGTTCTATCATTTTATTTATGCAATTATATGGACCTAACGGCACTACCGTTTGTCCGAGTCATCACAGTTATCTCACCTGTTCTGTTCTGGTTTGACCTCATCTGGCGTTTCCACTGGCCGTCGATGCTGCTTAAATCTTCCTGTACAATGTGGGTCAGCAGAACATCCATCTTGTTTGTCTGGGTCTGTTTACTGCCTGTTCACCTGCTAGTGACGGGTTTGCTTCAGTATTTGGTCACTGACCTGCTCGGGGTGCGCTGTCAGCTGCCTGGACCTGCGCCTTATCCATCGTCTTCCAGCCTCATCAGAGATACATCCACCGAGGGTCCCGCCGAAATTTCCACCACAGCAGCTCAACAGTAATAAAGTCCATCTGGTCCAGCTCTCGTCGCCCTCCACGCTACACCAACCGGGCTGTTGACCTCAGTGTGTTAGCTCGATCGGCTAGCACCACCACCAGCTGTGACAGCACTGCACTCCACTGCACTCTGCTCAACATCCGCTCACTGACAGACATCTCATCCAGGACCTCATCTCCGACCGTAAGCTAGAGTTCCTCTGTTTAACCGAGACATGGCAACAGCCCAACAACTTCTCTCAGCTGAATGAATCCACTCCTAGTGGGTTTGTTTACATCTGTTATCACTGTGGCTCCGGTCGGGAAGGAGGTCTTGCAATAATTTATCACAGGAAGTGGAAAGTCTTGCCGATATCTGTGCCGGTCTCCAGCTCGTTTGAATCTGCTGTCTGCAAGTTGTCTGGTTCCACCCCAACCATCATTGCTACTGTATACCGCCCCACAAAACTGAATAGTGATTTTTTTTTAATGATTTGGCTGCTTTTCTCACTCACTTATCCTAAGATAATACTGCTGGGGGATTTTAATATCCACATGGACAATATCAATCTGCCTCTTAAAGACTTCTCCTCCTGCCTGGATAGTTTTGGATGCCAGCAATATATCACTTTTCCCACACACTCCGAAGGACATACTCTGGACGTAATCTGCTGTTCTGGTGTCACGGCTGCTGAACTCCCCATAACTGACCATTTACTGTGAAACTCACTCTCTCCATTTCTAAAATACCCCGCCTTATTTCATTCAGAAATATAAAGAATATCAATCCTGCCACTCTCACTTCAAGTATCCAGTTCCGTATCCAATTCAAAGTCCTTCTGTGAAGATTCGAGGCCGTCCACAAACTCGCCCCCCATATCTGTCTGATCTCCTCCCAACTTCCACCCGCTCCCTTACATCCTCTTCCTCCATTCACCTGTCACCCGTTTATTTATTTCTGGTGATTTTAAAGGTCTTATGTCTCCCTGTACGCCGTCCTTGAGTACTGAGAAAGGTGCCTTTAAATAAAATATGTTATTATTATAAACAAAAAATACAGTAAATTATTGTACATAACCTTCTGAAACCTCCCAGATACAACATACATGCAAACATGTCTTTAATTATTCATTCTGTCTACCAAAGAAGTCAACATTTATGAGATTTAAATGCCAGCATTACCACAGGAACACAACCAACGTGCCGAGCGAGCACCGAGTGCGCCACTAATGAGTGTCCCACCAGAAACAAACCCTACATACTGTAGTTCCAGGACGAAAAGTAGCTATAACTAACATAGGCCTAAATAAGCTATAAAAATCAGAAAACTGTTTAGATCAAATAAAATGTATTAGTGTTAGTTATTGGTCTATTTTACACGTTTGATTAGATTGATCTGTGTAATTAATGGCTAAGCAAATAATGTGCCATTCAAATTATTTGTCACAAAAGGCGCTTTTCCACTGCATAGTACGGTACGGTTCGGTTCGGTACGGCTCACTTGTGGTGCTTTTCCACTGCATGGTACGGTACAGTACGGTTCGCTTCAGGTCGCTTTAAATGGTACCTGGTCTGTTGAGGTTCCAAGCGTACCGTACCGGTACTAAAATGTGACGTGAAACACTGCAGATCACTGATTGGTCAGACAGAATCGTCATTCCCTGCGTCACTACTAGCGTCATTGGATTTGCGACACGAGATACGAGACACTTTTTTAGCAGTATTTTTGTTTTGCTGCCATCAGCCTCATTTTAAACACATTTTTCCGTCTAGCAGTTAAAAACAACCACATACCGAGAATCAGGAACACCATCCCCTCGATAGTCTCCATTGTTCCTGTGTTGTGGGTTTGAAAATGTGGCGCTTTTAAGATGATGTCATGGCAGTAGAGGCGCGCGCAAATAACGATCAGTCCCACACACTTTGAAGGGGTACTACTGCAGGGGAAACGAAAAGCGAGCCGAACTGTTCCGCACCGAGTCGAAGCGCACTGGGCCGAACCGTACCGTACTATGCAGTGGAAAAGCGCCAAAAGCTGCAGATAGCAGATTATGATATTACAGTTTAAATTATGGCAGTATTAAATTATATGTTTAATTCAAATTTAGATTGCTTATTTTTCCTTACAGAGACTGACTGATTTAGTTTACCCCTAAACGTTAATTAATGCATTAACCCAAACATGCACTAAGATGTTTTATGCTGCTGTTATCATGCATGAATCAGTGTGACTCCTGTTATAGTTAAGGATTGCTCTTCATTGGTTCATGATTAGTTCATATATTCACTGATCATGAGTTAATGTTGAAGTAACTATTAATTCAGGTATTAGTACATGATTATCCATGGCCTGTTATTGTAAAGTGTTACCGGTGTCAGTGCTGTTTAAAAGCTCACAGGGCTTTTCACATTGCCATATAAACATATGTATGGTGTGTGTGGACCTTGTTAGTAAAGTTAAACCGGATAATGAGTCTGAGTGTCTTGTGTGTTAACATTTCTTATCTGTTTCTTCCCAGGGATACTGAATCACAGAGAGGAGATCCTGCCAGACAAAGTTTAAGAGGAATGAATGTCTCATATTGTTGCATATTATGAATATTATTAGAAAATGTTGAATAAAAAAAATAAAGTACACCAAATAAATTGTTTGTTGGTGCAAACCCCCTTTGTGTCTCTTGTTTTAACCTAAAATAAAATTAATAATTAAACACTACAACAAAGACATACAAATTAGAGCTGCCATAAAGCCGAAACACTCTCTGTTACTGTAATCTCCTGTTATACCTGTAAAGCTGCTTTGAAGCATCTACATTGTTAAAAGTGCTATATAAATGAAGATGACCGGACTATCAAAGTAATTATCATCTTAATTCTATCAATTCTGTTGTCAAGTAGATTTACAATTAGCATACAGGTTGGATTTGCTGTAGGGCTCTGCTCCGGGTAAGAACTCATCAGCCCTGCATGGATAAGAGTATTATCCCCCAAACAAAACCACAAGCTAATATCCCCCAAACACAAAATCTGAATCCCTTAAAAAAACCAACTCTGATACTGGAAAAGACAGACAAGACAAGGACATTTGTAAAGAAACAGCATGTCCGTCTGAAACAGAGACTGAGAGACAGTGGAGAGTAGCGAAGGAGTGATCTTCTGTTACAAGCCGCCGCTGTAAACACAGTGACCCAAACGAGCTTCAGCAACAAGCATGTGACCCTTACCCAGAGTTCAGCTGATCAGACCAGAGCACGAGGAGAAAGAGTGATTAACCTTTAAGTGTCGGGTCCCCTTTATTGAATAAACATCAAAATGCACAATCTGAACTTAAATGGTTGTAATTCAAGAATGCTTCTGAATATAGATGTCCTCTTCCTCTTCATCCTCTACCTCACCCCTCATCAGCCGTCACAAAGTTTCATTCCACTGCTCTGCTGATGACACACAGCTCTATGTAGAGCAACCCCACCCTCACAGTCATCTTCATCATAACGCTCCGCCTGTCTGGAGGAGATAAAGGAATGGATGGAGCACAATTTGCTTCAACTAAATCGCTCCAGAACCGAAGCCATATGGGCTGGCACTCTTCACCCGACCAAATAATCATCCATAACCAGCATCAGCTTTTCTGGCACCAACATCCCCCTCTCATCAATAGTCACAAATCTTGGTGTAAAAATGACTCCCAACTCACTTTTGAAGCCCAAATTAATCACCTATGCAAGACCTCTTTCTACCACCTCCGTAACATCTCCAATCTCCGCCCCATTCTCTCTTTCTCAGATGCTGAAAAGCTGGTTCATGCCTTTATCTTAGGGGTCGGCAACAGGCGGCCCTCGGGCCAAAACTGACCCCTGCCAGCAATAATATTCGGCCCGCGCCGCAGCCTGAAAAGTTCTGAAAGACATTCAGAAGAGTCTGTGGATCGCTAGACACACCTCTAAAAATGTCTAATATTATATTAAATGCGTCGCTATAGCATGTGTTGTGGTTATCGTGTGGTTATAGTCAGTTATATCTTATACTAATTGAATTTAGGACATTTACAAATGTGACATTATCGTAATTACATAATTATATAATTATGAGCAGTTTACTATTTTGTGATGTATTTCCATTCAGTTTAGTTTTTATTATTTTGCGAGTTCGCGTCTGACACTGTAAATCATCAGCGTATCATCATGACACAATTGACAGAAACAACATTTTATTTAACAAAAGAATTTATTGTACATTTCAATTTCAAGTGTCACAAAGGTGTATGAATGACATTCCAGTGGCGTGACGAAACATCTGTAGATCACACGCAGGTCATTGATCATGTGGCAGGAACGGTTCCCTCTCGAGGGACGACACTGGGACACTCCAGAGTCTGAAGCATGTGTCCGTTGGTGTTACGTCATGTGACGAGTCTGAAGCATGTGTCCTTTGGTGTTACGTCATGTGACGAGTCTGAAGCATGTGTCCTTTGGCGTACAAAGAAGTGACAAAGGAGAGCCGCCACACAACTCAGCAAACGTTCTGTGTTGCTCGTCAGTAGGGTTGGGTATCGTTTGAATTTGAACGATTCTGATTCCGATTCCGATTCCTTGTTTCGATTCCGGTTCCTAACGATTCTCGATTCCGATTCTTTTAAGAGGCAGGGTCAAAAAAGTTTAGCTAACCTAGCTAACCAACGGCCTTTCTGAAGGAAATACTCCTTCTGTAAAAATACTCCTTTTGTCACAAATTTTGCATTTTGCCGAGATTTCGTTATTTTTAGAAAAGTGAAGCCACACTTTGGATCGCCGACGTAAGCTACTCATGTTCGACTCGCGTGGTTATGCCAACACTTCCGGTAGACGCTTCTTCGTTGGTGTTGTTCAGTGGTTTCTTCTTCTGCTCGGCGGACTGTGAATATCGAAACTAGGAATCAAAATTTTAACTTTTGAACGATTCCGGGAAAAACGAAAAGTTAGTCTCGGTTCCAATCGATACTCGATTCTCGATACCCAACCCTACTCGTCAGTCTTATTCGGTGTTGTTTGTCCCATACATAGTGCAAAGCATTATATCTATTGAGTAAAAGAAAGAAAGTAATGGCGAGTGAAAGCCATTATAGGCAGTGCACGTCTCCCTGTCCTAGATTCATCACGGATGCGGACACACACTCTAGAGCTCCCTCCACGAGGAAACTTTATGCTTCAGTGGAATGTGTTAACTTTATGGTACAGAGAACGCCCGTTGAACCCGGTGACCTCCCAGTGGAGAACGCCAGTTGAACCCGGTTACCTCCCAGTGGAGAACGCCAGTTGAACCCGGTGACCTCCCAGTGGAGAACGCCAGTTGAACCCGGTGACCTCCCAGTGGAGAACGCCAGTTGAACCCAGTTACCTCCCAGTGGAGAACGCCAGTTGAACCCAGTTTCCTCCCAGTGGCTTCAGCGCTGGAGTTCCTCCAAAGCCGGTTCTCTGTTGGTCTTTCCCATCCACACCTAAGGTCTATGTGGTGGCCATAGCTGCCTTCCACACGCCTTTAAGCATGGCCCGTTGGGGAAACACCATTTATCATTTGTTTCCTTCGTACCAGGAGGATGATGCCTGTCGTCCAATCCAGGGCTCCCGTTGTGGTTCTTGAGGGGTTATGCCTGGCAACCTTCAAACCCATTGATGAAGTGTCAAAGTTCTTTCCTGCTAGTTATTACCTCCCTTAAAAGAGTTGTGGACCTGCAGGCACTCTTGCCTAGACTTCGGTTCTGATAGAGTAAAGGCCATTCTCCACCCCAGGCCAGGCCCAAGGTGCCATCGAATGTGGGACGGTCTGTAATCCTGCAGGTCTTTCGTCCTCCACCCCATGTCTCAGCTGATGAGGAAAAGCTGCACCTTCTATGCCCTGTTCGGCCCATTCATACGTAGGTCCTCGGGTTGGAGGAAGTCGGACTAGGTACTTGTGTGCTTTGGGTCTCCTAAGAAGAGTTCCCCAGCCACTAAGCAGACTATTAGCAGGAGGATTATAGAGGCTATTTCATCAGCGTATGAGGCACACAGTTTGCCCTCGTGTCTCCTGATAAGAGCCCACTGGACTAGCGGAGTGGCGTCCTCTAAAGCCCTGCTATCAGGGGTTTCTCTTCAAGAGGTGTGTGATGCTGCTGGCTGGGCCTCCTCGCACACCTTCATCAGAGATTAGCCTGGATCTGCCCTCACGCCGGGCTCTCCAGCTGTTCTTGACAAGCTTCACACCAGGACAGGCACTCGACAGTGGGCGTAGTGGGTGTTTCGCTCCCCACAAGTGTCCTGTTCCCTGAGAAGAGAAAGGACACTGTGCCCCTTTGCCACGCCTGCGTGCCTGAGAACGACTTGCTTCGACCTATCAGAAGCTAACTCTGTTGTGCGCTGGCTCCCCTTTGTAGCTTCTGCATACGCCGCCGTCATGTGACGCCATGACGCGACACCAATCGAGATCTGACGAGTTCCATACGTGCTTCAGACGCTGTCACGCTGGAGGTGTTCCCCAGTGACGTCTCCGATGCAGCGTCTCGTTGCGTCTCAGGGAACAAGGGTTACATGCCTAACACAAGACGTCTCGAATGCATCATGAGACAGACGACGAGAAGATTTAACAGCACCAGCATCATCAGATGTACGTTTGGCTTCAATGTGTGTGTTTGTGTGTTTGAGTCAGTGAGCGAGTGCGTGTGTGTGAGTGTGTGTTAGGGATGCACCGATACCATTTTTTCAGAACCGATCCGATACCAAAAATTCGACCAATGACAATACGATACCAGCTCATTTTTTTTAAAATCAAGTAGAATTTTGTAAATATTGTATTTGGATCGGCCTTGTCTGACCGATACCCGATCCGGCAAAGAATGGCAGTATCGGAGCCGATACCGGTACTGAGTATTGGATCGGTCCATCCCAAGTGTGTGTGTGTGTGTGTGTGTGTGCTCTCATGAAATAGATTGCCTCTCAAACCGCATCACACTCCTCTAAAGTCAACATGAAATGATCTCATCATCTCTCCAGTTAAAGGCCTCGTTCACCAGAACACAGACGCTCAGAAGTGGAGCAAGCCATTACATTTGATTAACGATTATGAAGACAAACATTTATGTCTCTAGCATATTGAGATGAAACATTCTTATTAAGAACAGGAACGTGAATTTAGATAGTTCTCATCATTTCATGTTGACTTCAGATGTTACTTTTAAAGTGTAAGTGAGCAAGTCTTTCAAGAGTTAAAAAATGTACAAAACCTAAAACCCCGCAGGGGCGAGTGCTGCATTGACTGAAGAACCCCTGAACCCTTTCTGCTGATTTACATGCACATAATAACATATCGCTGGAAAATAATGACGTTCTTCCATGTTTATGTCTTGTTTTTGTTAAACTAAGTGAGTTTTTGCTTATAAGAACAACAAATATCTGCCATTGCAGTAAAAACGGTTATTTCACTTTTTAAGCACAAACTCACTTAATTTTGATATATTGTTTTTATAAAACAACACCTTAGTTATTTTGCTTCTCCAGTAAATGTATGTTGACTTAAGGATGTTTTTAGACATTAGGGCTGAAAAATCATTTTTTCTGATCAAAGGCACTACAGACTAGCCTGTACATTAGTCTACTAGTAGAGGTAAAGGTTAAGTGCACTCTATTTACAGATTAAATGTGAAATGAATATAAATATGATGCAGTGGTGTGAGGAGGGATTGAGTGAGCACACGATCCTCTTCGTGTCGAGTCTCTCACACCCGGATCTGGTATCCGTTCAGATCCGCCGCGGGCCCCGCTCTCTTCTCCACCGCCAGCCTGTGGAGACAGCGCCAGCTAGTGTTAGCTCAGCTAGTGTTTCTGACGGTGTGCAGTGTAAGATCTGTAGGTACCGTCTGTCGCTCGGGCTGTTCTTGCGCATCGGGCTCCCCGGGGTCCTCAGAGGAGATCCCACCTCCTTCCTCCGGTCCCTGGGGGGCGACGGCGGAGCGGCTTTACCGATCTGAAACACACAACAAATGGATCACATTCTTAACTAACCATTTTTTAAAGACATTCCACGTTCCGAACCTCAAATATTTCAAATGCTTAATAAGCTGTAAGTGCAGGCGTCTGGGCCGTACCTTCAGCCTCATGTCCCGGGTGTGCCTCTCCAGCTCTTTCCTCAGCTCCTCGCTGGACAGCTTGTCCACGTCCAGCACCGAATGCGTCCACTCGATCTGCTCCACGCTGTGGGGGTCGTGGGACACGTAGTGCCCGATCTTGACCTTGCACAGCGTGTGCCAGTAGCCCCGATAGGCCGCCTGGAACTCCTGCAGGAGGTCGCTGAGCGTCCTGAACTCCAGCGGCTTGTACATCAGGTCCTGGCGCCGGCTGATGCCCAAGGCCCCGAAGCGGCCCCCGCTGTGCACGCCCAGCACTATGTGACGGAAATAACTCCCTGAGAACTGTGTTTTAAAGCTGAGAGGAAACCGCTCCACGTTCGGCATGCTGTTGGTGAGGTAACTGGCAGGCCAGCGGGGTTAAGGGTTATATTCAACACAGAGGGAACATGTTCAAAATCTGTTCTCTAAATGCATGATTCATCTGTGCACACACTACTGCTCGAACGCTTGGAATAACTCTTCTGCTCACAATGCTGCATTTATTTTTTATCAAAAATACATTAAAAATAGTCAAATATAATTACAATTTGAAACAGTGGTTTTCTGTGTGAATATAGAGTCCAATGTAACTTGATCCTGTGATCAGAGCTGAATTTCAGCATCATTACTCCATCCTACATCCATCACTCCATCCTCTTGTTGCCTACATCCCTCTTTCTGTCATTGAAGTGTTTAGAACATGACTGGAAGACTAAACGTCACTGAACAATCATAAACGCAACACTTTGGTTTTTGCCCCCATTTTTCATGAGCTGAACTCAAAGATCTAAGACTGTGGACACAAAAGGCCTATTTCTCTCAAATATGGTTCACAAATCTGAATTTATTATGAGCATCTAGCAGCATAAAATACTCATAGACCCATCTAAAACCCATTTATGCTGTAAATATACCCCCGCTTTCAAAGACCAGCTTAAGCCTAGTCTCAGACTAACATGCATGTTTTAGCCGTTTTAACTGAAAGCAACTTGCGCTGACATATCTTAAAATATGCACGTAATATGCACTATTATCTCAAGATGCACACCAGTACTGTTTTAATGCACATTTATAAAAGCTACTTAAATGTCCTAATTGAACTAAGGCCTAATCTAAGCCCTGTCTGTGAAAGCAGGCCTCAGAGTTTAAAGATTTAGGCCATAGTAAAAAGACAGTGCTGTCAGAGTTACAGGTGCTTTTATCATCTCTCATTTTGCATCTCTCTTCTAGTACTAATAGATTTTAGTGCCTTCTTTGACACAAAATACCATGTCATTCCCTTGGGCAAGTTATAAGATGGTTATAAGATGCAGGATATAATGTTATATAACAATAACAAGTTATAAGACAAGCATTAAGGTGGTTTAGATCCTATTTGTCTTTTTGCTGCCACTTTGTTTGTATGAAAGAGTGAAGAAAGCAGTATGGACTACAGCGTGCCACAAGGCTCTGTATCAGGTCCTCTGTCGTTTTTAGTGCACATGCTTCTATGTTAATAATGTTCATACATCCAATCCAGGATTCAGTGAACTCCTAAGGGAAGGATACATCCCGAGAATAACGGCTTCCAAACATTTGATTGGTAGAGATTCTCTTGTCATTTCCTTGGCAATGTCCATCAATCTGAGGAACAAATTGTAGATATTAATGCAATAAGAGTCACAGTTCTGTCACCCTTGTGTGTGTCACCAGAGCTGTGACACTCCCGGTTTGTCATGTGTTTGTGTCTAGTCTGGTCTGTTGTGAGCACATGGCTCTCATGTTATTTGCTTGTGCCATGTGCTCTCCAGTCAATTGTCTGAAAGCCCGCCCATCGTTATTGTTTAATTTCCCCCACCCGCCTGCCTCGATACCCTCTAATGTTTGTTCCCCTATTTAATCTCCCCGTGTTTACAGTCCTGTGCTGGTTTGTTGTCCCTGTTACCATCTCCTTAGTGTTTCCAGTTCTTACCTGTTCTCGGTTTTCCCCCACGAGGGAGTTTTGTTTGTAGTTTGTTGTTATTAAATGTTTACCCATTGTTCTTGCACTTGAGTCCTTGCAGAACGAACCAGCCGACTGAGGACTCTGAGAATGCTGGGGATATTATCTTTCTGGCAGTTTGTGGGGTATGTTTACAATGACGGGGCCAATGCAGACTGAGAGGGTGGTCTTCCGCCTCTTGGCCCACCTCCCACTGACCTCACAAACTGCCAAGTCCGCAGTCCTCCGATGACCCCTTCGGAGAGAGGGAGGAAGAAAGGGTGAGACCCATCAGCCTCCTATCCAGTGAAGGCTGAAGGAGTTGCAGCACCCCCAGAGGCAGTTACTGCCTACTGCCAGGAGGACCTGACTTTGGTGGTCCCAGAGCTGTCCTCTCTCCCTGCAGCTCTCAGAGGTAGCCGAGGATCTCGTATCACCGTAGACGGAGGAGGAGAGCTTCGGGTCAACCACAGGGTCCAGAGGTGTTTCCCAAGCCTGCAGCCGAACCTCCGAAGCCTCCAGCGACGCCTCGCCCTGCCGCCGCCACCCAAGCTCTTGGCCCCGCCGGCACCGGCCATGTTACCAATCAAGCCCGAATCTGTTCACGTCATGCCTGCTGCACAAGAGACTGTTCCCACCAGGTCAGCCACGCCAGTGTCTCTCGACAAGATGGCCGCCGCCGAGCCAACGTCTCCAGACAAGATGGCCATGCCGGTGTCTGTTCCTCGGCCGGAGTCCGTTCCTCGGCCGGTGTCCGTTCCTCGGCCAGTGAGTCCGTTCCTCGGCCGGAGCCGGTTCATCGGCCGGAGTTCGGCCGGAGTCCGTTCCTCGGCCAGAGCCCGTTCCTCAGCCGGTGAGTCCGTTCCTCAGTTGTGAATGTTTGTGAGCAGAATAATGCAATCATCAGATGCCTTTACTATAGTTGTTTACTTGCATTCAGACTCTTATTGTCACAGAATGGGTAGATTAAAGTGCAAGAACAATGGGTAAACATTTATTAACAACAAACAAACTACAAACAAAACTCCCTCGTGGGGGAAAAACGAGAACAGGTAAGATCTGGAAACACGAAGGACATGGAAACATGGACAACGAACCAGCACAGGACTGCAAACACAACAGTAAATGGAGGATGACGTGAGTATGATGCGAGGGTGATGTGTGGACTGGACTTACGCGGTGAGTGGCCGGCTCTTCTTGATCTCGAAGAACTGTGTTCCAGTGTGATTGTATCTGACAGACAATGTTAAGCACAGAACACAAACAGTGTGCAATAGAAAGTCCCCAGAGTTAACTCAACGTGAATCTACTGCTACACTACAAATTATTTGCACAATACAGCAGATAAAGGTATGATTACTTTTCACAGAATATCATATTAATAATCATATGACAAATAGCTATGACAAACATTGGGGCAAAGTCAGTGTGAGCAGCTGAACTACAACAGAGCAATCCACAATAACATTTAATAACAGACTCCCTGTAACGTTGAGCAGACTCGCAGACTAGAGACCGCTGGATCCACATACAGAGATAAAGACACACATTGGAAATATCAGAGACACATGGAACAGGAGCAGAACTGAGAACAGAGGAACAAAACTGAGCAAATCAACGAAACCATCACTGGACCATGAACACAGTGAACTGTACACACACACACAGATAACAAAGGACTGGAGAGGGTAATTAATGAAGTCATGTGATGCTGAGAAAGCAGAACAGACATAATTGTTCATAAAAAAAATGAAAAATAAACCCTGATCTTTCTGAGCTCGCTGACAGATGTGTGCTCTTGTTGAAGGTGTGTGTAGGAGACGCTGAGCTGAAGGATACTGCAGGTCCCTGATGTATCTCTGAATGGCCTCCAGGCGCTGGGGAACGCTGGCGCTGGCCGGGAGAGAAGGCACACTCGGTACTGGGATCTGCAGGACAGCACACACACCATCACACACACCGGCACTCACGACAGGCCAGATCAGTGTGTCACGCTACGTCTGCATTACTTGTATCCCACAGGCGGACTCGGATGGTTTGCTTTTTAATTTAAAAAAATGTAAAGGCCCTTTCACAGCAAAAGTGAAGTGAATAATCCTCAGGCTGAAGGAAACACAGATCCCCTGGTGAACAGTAGATGGCGCCGCTCACACACACATCTCAGCACTGGCGTTCTCGACCACAGAAGAAGAAACTTCAACTTCAGCAATAAAGCTTCATCAAGCTTCTCAGATATCTTTAATGCTTCTTCGGTTACAGGCACACAAACTAGAAAAATAATATTTAAAGCACCCAGACGGGTATATTCTAATCTATGCAATGTGTTGATAGAAAAAAACAAGATACATTTCTAGTTTCAACATTATTTGTTGTTCAGATATTCCTCTTTAGAAGAGAAAAGCGACACACATCTGTGTTTGACCACTGGAAATGTGTTCAATTGACCAGTTTAGATCTCTGTATCTCTGGGGTTGAGCCTTTAAAATGAAGATACGAAGAGTAAAGTTTATTATGAATTATAATCTAGAAAAGATATGAAGGAATCTCTAATTATTCTTGAGTACAGGCATTCAAACTTCAGGAAATAAACTCAAGAAGTGCTTTCTCCCAGTGTTGAGCTGTATAATGCAGCTGTAGATCCACCGATCTCTGTGTAGAAATATAATAATCATGCTGCCATATTTATATATTCATTCAATATTCAATATTCATTCTGACCCTCCTCTACAAATAGTGGATTATACAGCCATTACATGATTTCATCACTATTTATCTTTGTCTTTCTTCAGAAAATAAATATTAACAAGTTGGGGAAGTTTCTGTAATTTAGTTGATTTGACGCGAAACTCTACCATTTGTGTGTGTATATATATATATATATATTTCACAATAAACTTTCAATTTGTCGTTTTTATATATAACACACATTTATAAATGAGTGGTTTCAGATGTTATTGATTATGGCCTGTAGACTGTCCCTCACACACACTAGATCCTGACCCCGGCCGCATCACACACTGATGAACACGAGCACGAGTGTGTGTAGACGGCCCGAGGAAGACACGATTCTTTATTCCAAGCCGGAAACAACACAGCAAACACTTTTGCGTTTAAAAGACGTCTAAGAGCGTCCAAACACAGCCTGACGTCTAGCCTAACACAAGGCAAAGTTCAGGCGGTCAGTGAACATTTAATAGACGTATAAGAATAGACTAGTCCTCGATTTCACAACAATGAAATGAAGTGAGTGAAGAAATGAAAGCAAACCCCTTGTGATCACTGTTGACTTTGCTAACATCTCACAAGTTATTTTGGCAAAAACGACATGTAACCAAATCCAAGGTTGTTTTATCTATAAGTGTGTTATTTAGCCGGAGTATATCGGGTCTACAGTTCACCGAGACGGAGGAGTGACGGCTATTGCATGCTGGGAACCTCCCAAGCCCTACACGTGCTCCTGAACCCGACCCGAGGCGTACAGTGGTGTTGGTGTCAGTGCCGTACCTTCGGCAGGTCGCTGGTTCCCCGGATCCGCCCGCCCAGCGCTCCTCCGTCCGGGTGTATGCGGGTCACGTGATGCCACATCTGCTCCCAGGTGTCGGGGTTCACGGGCAGACCCCCCCTGTTGATGATGAAGGGCACCCCCCCGTCCCGCTGGTCCTCTCCGTCCTCCTCCTGGTCCTCGTCCCGCTCCTCCACTCCCTCCAGACTGAAGGAGGAGCGCAGCATCTTCAGCCCGTCGGAGGCGCTGGGCTGGCCCAGACAGGCCCTGACCCCGGCCGGGCCCGGGACGCTCCTGCGGGGGGACGAGCCGGGCCCCAGCGCCCCGCAGCACGACACCGGCATGGGCCGAGGCGCCGCAACACAGCTCAGAGACCCGCGGGCCGGACACAGGCTAACCGCGGCTCCGTCCCATTACGCTGGGAAAACCTTATACTGAATGTTTTAAAAATGGTTTTATCACTGTTTAAACTTTCTTTATTACAACTTTGCTAACATTATGGGAATGTTACGTTTGAATTAGTTCTTAAACAAGTCGTGACATTTAAAAAAAAAAACGTTTGTCTAAAAAATTTTTTTTTTTTAGAAAAAATATTCTATGAATGATGTAAATGATGTTTCCGTGCTAGTGTTTTGAGAACATTATTAAAGAGCCGATGAAGCGTTCTGCTAAGGTTGCTTTGAGTCGGCCTGTGGGTCCAGCTGGGTGCCGGACCGACACTGACCCCCAGACAACACCCTCAACATATATCAGCCAGCATACTACAACATAATCAGTCCTGAAATCCCATCATGCTGGCTATATGCTGATCATCACACATCGATGTACAGAAACCATCGTTAGACGAGAAATAAACAGCATTGCTTCTAAAGCTCTAGATATAAATGTAACGCGGAGAACACAGGTCACATGATGAGTTAAATACCGGTATATGTGCCGGGAATCAGAAACATATTACAGACAATGAGGCCAGAGACGCTCCTCTGACGTCAGTCTCTGTCCCGCGCTCAAACACAGCTCGACGGTACCGTACTGCCGTTCCCCGTGGTCAGCTTCTGCATTCGGTCTCGGTGTTCTGCCCGAGCCGTCGCCCTGTTCGGTCCAGATCCCGTTATACGCCCGAGATTGCGATGCCCGATTCGCGAACAACTCTTTGTTTTGAACTGAATTCATTTGAATGATTCGGGCGAACCGATTCGCGACGCGTTTGTAGGTCACTTTGTTTAGGTGAGATTAAAACAATGTTGTTAATTTTTGGAAATAATACCGTTAATATTTAGCATTTTTTTTTATTTATTTTATTGGATACGTGTTTTTAATGATGTTCATAATGATGTTAACAATAATAATGTTGTTATACACTGGTCTCAATGAACTGTGAACCAGTTCATTAAAACGAACCGTCCGAACGAACCGATTGGCTAAAATGATTCAGAATTTCCAGCGCTGAAGACGTGATCGACTCTTCCAAATCCTTGTTTGATGCGCAGGCGCACAACGATAAGACATCACGCATTTTTGCTAAACAAAGTTTTGCACAAAAAAAAAAAAAAAAAAAGTATTGAGCATTTTTTTTTTCAAACAAAGATAAAGAATAGCTAAATATAAATAAAGATATGCTTAATTGCTGCAACAGATTTTTAGCAGTATTATTTTTCCATAGCGACACCTATGCATGTACGTCTCCTTTTCTTCTGAGTCCAGAGAGTATTTTTCATTCAAGTCCATCATTATTTTTCTTAGTCACTAGACAGTAAGACTGTTGCAATCTTATATTATATTCTTAGTTGATATTTAATTATATATTATATGTCGTGTTCATCTCAGTAACAGCTGGTTGGTTGTGTCTGTGTTGGACTGTAATGGTTCCTCAAAAATGTATGGCCAATCAAAACAGAGACAGAAAATTTCTTATCAAAAACTATTCAAACTTGAAAAACATGCATAATAATATCAATGATAAAAAAATAGGGAAAACGTTTATCCAAAACGTTTAGATTTAAAGCAATAATACAAAATAGATTAAATCAAAGTGAATCAACTAAATCCATAAAATGATCCTGATGGAACCCGTATGGTTCTGTATCTATCTGTCTGTCTGTCTGTCTGTCTGTCTGTCTATCTATCTATCAGTCTGTCTGTCTGTCTGTCTGTCTATCTATCTATCTATCAGTCTGTCTGTCTGTCTATCTATCTGTCTGTCTGTCTATCTATCTGTCTGTCTATCTATCTATCTATCTGTCTGTCTGTCTATCTATCTATCTATCTGTCTGTCTATCTATCTGTCTGTCTGTCTGTCTGTCTGTCTGTCTGTCTATCTATCTATCTATCTATCTGTCTGTCTGTCTGTCTGTCTGTCTGTCTATCTGTCTGCCTGTCTGTCTGTCTGTCTGTCTGTCCGCCTGCTCACACTGACCCCGTCACAGTAAAGCAGAGCACAGTGTCATTAGGGGAATTGGTCCTCGTGGCGAGAGAGCGAATCTGTGCCATCTGACGCTCAGGGATTTATGGGTTTAGTCAAAATTGCTTTTGCCGGCGTGGAGATTAATGTGTGTGTGATGTTGCGAGGCGATGTCCGAAGCGCTGAGGGGAATGTGAGCGCTGAAGATGTGCAGCATGCAGCTGGAGACGGTGCTCGTGTTCATGTGTGTGTGTCTGCTGGGAGCGGCCGGGAGATCCACACACAGGAGAGCACACCGAGCCGACGGCTTCAAGCAGAGCAGGTATGACCCCTGACCCCCCGATGACCCTGAACCCTATCCCTGATGCTGTCTCTCTCCCATCGAGAGGCATAGCAGAGGACATTATGTGTTATTGGTTTTAAATGCAGATCTTTCTATTGCTCTCCAAAACACTTTCTTGAATCATGAAGCATAACATAGAAAATGATGTTTTATTGTCGTTTCAAATCCAGATTTTTCTCATGAGGTGCTGTTGTTTATACTTTAATCTTTGCGTATGTGAAATATTCTGTCAGTGCACGGCCAGATTTCATATCGAAGTGTGAAGCGTGTGTTTGTCCCTCTGGTTGAGATGGAGATCTGCTGGCAGGTTCTCATCAGTGATCATCATCAGTTCGCTTTAGCTCGGCGTGATGGATCTCGGTCAGACGCTTCACACACACGGGGTGTCAGTGATCAGTTCTTAATGTGAGGGACATTTTAATATTCTGAAGAACATTTTGTGCAAAAGAACGCATTTAAACAGATCATTTCAATTTTTTTCTAGTGATAAAGTATGTTTATGAGCTGCTCACAGTTTTTCTCAGTCGCTTTGGTACATTTCTCGAATCATCCTCGACACTTGTAAAACAGTAAGTGCAGTTCTCATAACAATTCGTACACATAGCAAAACACATGAGTTACCTGCAAAAGCCAGTCTTGCTCAAAATCCTTAATTCATCTCTCAGAGGTAAATATCTGTGTCAGTGAACATGCATCAGAATGACAAGTCCTTGAGTCAAGTTTGATCGCAAGAGACTGGACAAGATTCCAGATATGTTGACAGACCATGTCATTGCGATACAGGAAAAGACAGCACTGCACAAAGACAAAAAAAAAACAAAACAAAAGAAAAAATAAAAGTACACACAAATATCAAAATGAAGTGAGTTTGCGCTTAAATCAAGAACAAATATCTGCTAATGGGGTCAAAAAGCAAGATTATTGAGAAGATTATTTTTCTAAAAATAATAATTTGTGTTAGAATGCAGAGTCAGAGTCAGAAGGTTCTCTGTCCGTGAGCAGCGTTTATTGAAAGAAGCAAAGGAAATGCAGTACACACACTCGCCAGCAGGGCAATGCAGTACACACACTCGTCAGCAGGGCGATGCAGTACACACACTCGCCAGCAGGGCAATGTAGTACACAAACTCGCCAGCAGGCCAATGCAGTACACACACTCGCCAGCAGGGCGATGCAGTACACACACTCGCCAGCAGGGCGATGCAGTACACACACTCGTCAGGAGGGCGATGCAGTACACACACTCGCCAGCAGGGCAATGTAGTACACACACTCGCCAGCAGGGCGATGCAGTACACACACTCGCCAGCAGGGCGATGCAGTACACAAACTCGTCAAGAGGGCGATGCAGTACACACACTCGCCAGCAGGCCAATGCAGTACACACACTCGCCAGCAGGGCAATGTAGTACACAAACTCGCCAGCAGGCCAATGCAGTACACACACTCGCCAGCAGGGCGATGCAGTACACACACTCGCCAGCAGGGCGATGCAGTACACAAACTCGTCAAGAGGGCGATGCAGTACACAAACTCGCCAGCAGGCCAATGCAGTACACACACTCGCCAGCAGGGCAATGCAGTACACACACTCGCCAGCAGGGCGATGCAGTACACAAACTCGTCAAGAGGGCGATGCAGTACACACACTCGCCAGCAGGCCAATGCAGTACACACACTCGCCAGCAGGGCAATGTAGTACACAAACTCGCCAGCAGGCCAATGTAGTACACACACTCGCCAGCAGGGCGATGCAGTACACACACTCGCCAGCAGGGCAATGCAGTACACACACTCGTCAGCAGGGCGATGCAGTACACAAACTCGTCAGGAGGGCGATGCAGTACACACACTCGCCAGCAGGGCGATGCAGTACACACACTCGTCAGCAGGGCGATGCAGTACACACACTCGTCAGGAGGGCGATGCAGTACACACACTCGCCAGCAGGCCAATGCAGTACACACACTCGCCAGGAGGGCGATGCAGTACACACACTCGCAAGCAGGGCGATGCAGTACACACACTCGTCAGCAGGGCGATGCAGTACACACACTCGCCAGCAGGGCAATGCGGTACACACTCGCCAGCAGGGCAATGCAGTACACACACTCGCCAGCAGGCCAATGCAGTACACACACTCGCCAGGAGGGCGATGCAGTACACACACTCGCCAGCAGGCCAATGCAGTACACACACTCGCCAGGAGGGCGATGCAGTACACACACTCGCCAGCAGGGCGATGCAGTACACACACTCGTCAGCAGGGCGATGCAGTACACACACTCGTCAGCAGGGCGATGCAGTACACACACTCGCCAGGAGGGCGATGCAGTACACACACTCGCCAGGAGGCCAATGCAGTACACACACTCGCCAGGAGGGCGATGCAGTACACACACTCGCCAGGAGGGCAATGCAGTACACACACTCGTCAGCAGGGCGATGCAGTACACACACTCGTCAGGAGGGCGATGCAGTACACACACTCGCCAGCAGGGCAATGCAGTACACACACTCGTCAGCAGGGCGATGCAGTACACACACTCGTCAGGAGGGCGATGCAGTACACACACTCGTCAGCAGGGCGATGCAGTACACACACTCGCCAGCAGGGCGATGCAGTACACACACTCGTCAGGAGGGCGATGCAGTACACACACTCGCCAGCAGGGCAATGCAGTACACACACTCGCCAGGAGGGCAATGCAGTACACACACTCGCCAGGAGGGCAATGCAGTACACACACTCGCCAGCAGAGCAATGCAGTACACACACTCGCCAGCAGGGCAATGCAGTACACACACTCGCCAGCAGGGCAATGCAGTACACACACTCATCAGCAGGGCAATGCAGTACACACACTCGCCAGCAGGGCAATGCAGTACACACACTCGCCAGCAGGGCAATGCAGTACACACACTCGCCAACAGGGCAATGCAGTACACACACTCGCCAGCAGGGCAATGCAGTACACACACTCGCCAGGAGGGCAATGCAGTACACACACTCGCCAGCAGAGCAATGCAGTACACACACTCGCCAGCAGGGCAATGCAGTACACACACTCGCCAGGAGGGCAATGCAGTACACACACTCGCTAGCAGGGCAATGCAGTACACACACTCGCCAGGAGGGCAATGCAGTACACACACTCGCTAGCAGGGCAATGCAGTACACACACTCGCCAGGAGGGCAATGCAGTACACACACTCGCTAGCAGGGCAATGCAGTACACACACTCGCCAGCAGGGCAATGCAGTACACACACTCATCAGCAGGGCAATGCAGTACACACACTCGCCAGCAGGGCAATGCAGTACACACACTCGCCAGCAGGGCAATGCAGTACACACACTCGCCAGCAGGGCAATGCAGTACACACACTCGCCAGCAGGGCAATGCAGTACACACACTCGCCAGGAGGGCAATGCAGCACACACACTCGCCAGCAGAGCAATGCAGTACACACACTCGCCAGGAGGGCAATGCAGTACACACACTCGCTAGCAGGGCAATGCAGTACACACACTCGCCAGGAGGGCAATGCAGTACACACACTCGCTAGCAGGGCAATGCAGTACACACACTCGCCAGGAGGGCAATGCAGTAAACACACTCGCCAGCAGAGCAATGCAGTACACACACTCGCCAGCAGAGCAATGCAGTACACACACTCGCCAGGAGGGCAATGCAGTACACACACTCGCTAGCAGGGCAATGCAGTACACACACTCGCCAGGAGGGCAAAGCAGTATACACACACTCGCCAGCAGGGCAATGCAGTACACACACTCATCAGCAGGGCAATGCAGTACACACACTCGTCAGCAGGGCAATGCAGTACACACACTCGTCAGCAGGGCAATGCAGTACACACACTCGCCAGCAGGGCAATTCAGTACACACACTCATCAGCAGGGCAATGCAGTACACACACACTCGCCAGCAGGGCAATGCAGTACACACACTCGCCAGCAGGGCAATGCAGTACACACACTCGCCAGGAGGGCAATGCAGTACACACACACTCGCCAGCAGGGCAATGCAGTACACACACTCATCAGCAGGGCAATGCAGTACACACACTCGTCAGCAGGGCAATGCAGTACACACACTCGTCAGCAGGGCAATGCAGTACACACACTCGTCAGCAGGGCAATGCAGTACACACACTCGCCAGCAGGGCAATTCAGTACACACACTCGCCAGCAGGGCAATGCAGTACACACACTCGCCAGCAGGGCAATGCAGTACACACACTGGGGAAACCAGTATTGGGCTACAGTGGGAAACCAGTATTGGGCTACAGTGGGAAACCAGTATTGGGCTACAGTGGGAAACCAGTATTGGGCTACAGTGGGAAACCAGTATTGGGCTACAGTGGGAAACCAGTATTGGGCTGCAGTGGGAAATCAGTATTGGGCTACAGTGGGAAATCAGTATTGGGCTGCAGTGGGAAACCAGTATTGGGCTACAGTGGGAAACCAGTATTGGGCTACAGTGGGAAACCAGTATTGGGCTACAGTGGGAAACCAGTATTGGGCTACAGTGGGAAACCAGTATTGGGCTGCAGTGGGAAATCAGTATTGGGCTGCAGTGGGAAACCAGTATTGGGCTACAGTGGGAAATCAGTATTGGGCTACAGTGGGAAACCAGTATTGGGCTACAGTGGGAAACCAGTATTGGGCTGCAGTGGGAAACCAGTATTGGGCTGCAGTGGGAAACCAGTATTGGGCTACAGTGGGAAACCAGTATTGGGCTGCAGTGGGAAACCAGTATTGGGCTACAGTGGGAAACCAGTATTGGGCTGCAGTGGGAAACCAGTATTGGGCTGCAGTGGGAAATCAGTATTGGGCTGCAGTGGGAAACCAGTATTGGGCTACAGTGGGAAACCAGTATTGGGCTACAGTGGGAAACCAGTATTGGGCTGCAGTGGGAAACCAGTATTGGGCTGCAGTGGGAAACCAGTATTTAGCTGCAGTGAGAAACCAGTATTGGGCTACAGTGGGAAACCAGTATTGGGCTACAGTGGGAAACCAGTATTGGGCTGCAGTGGGAAACCAGTATTGGGCTGCAGTGGGAAACCAGTATTGGGCTGCAGTGGGAAACCAGTATTGGGCTACAGTGGGAAACCAGTATTGGGCTACAGTGGGAAACCAGTATTGGGCTGCAGTGGGAAACCAGTATTGGGCTGCAGTGGGAAACCAGTATTGGGCTACAGTGGGAAACCAGTATTGGGCTACAATGGGAAATCAGTATTGGGCTACAGTGGGAAACCAGTATTGGGCTACAGTGGGAAACCAGTATTGGGCTGCAGTGGGAAATCAGTATTGGGCTACAGTGGGAAACCAGTATTGGGCTACAGTGGGAAACCAGTATTGGGCTACAATGGGAAATCAGTATTGGGCTACAGTGGGAAACCAGTATTGGGCTACAGTGGGAAACCAGTATTGGGCTACAGTGGGAAACCAGTATTGGGCTGCAGTGGGAAACCAGTATTGGGCTGCAGTGGGAAACCAGTATTGGGCTACAGTGGGAAACCAGTATTGGGCTGTAGTGGGAAATCAGTATTGGGCTACAGTGGGAAACCAGTATTGGGCTACAGTGGGAAACCAGTATTGGGCTACAATGGGAAATCAGTATTGGGCTACAGTGGGAAACCAGTATTGGGCTACAGTGGGAAACCAGTATTGGGCTACAGTGGGAAACCAGTATTGGGCTACAGTGGGAAACCAGTATTGGGCTGCAGTGGGAAATCAGTATTGGGCTACAGTGGGAAACCAGTATTGGGCTGCAGTGGGAAACCAGTATTGGGCTGCAGTGGGAAACCAGTATTGGGCTACAGTGGGAAACCAGTATTGGGCTACAATGGGAAATCAGTATTGGGCTACAGTGGGAAACCAGTATTGGGCTACAGTGGGAAACCAGTATTGGGCTGCAGTGGGAAATCAGTATTGGGCTACAGTGGGAAACCAGTATTGGGCTACAGTGGGAAACCAGTATTGGGCTACAATGGGAAATCAGTATTGGGCTACAGTGGGAAACCAGTATTGGGCTACAGTGGGAAACCAGTATTGGGCTACAGTGGGAAACCAGTATTGGGCTGCAGTGGGAAACCAGTATTGGGCTGCAGTGGGAAACCAGTATTGGGCTACAGTGGGAAACCAGTATTGGGCTGTAGTGGGAAATCAGTATTGGGCTACAGTGGGAAACCAGTATTGGGCTACAGTGGGAAACCAGTATTGGGCTACAATGGGAAATCAGTATTGGGCTACAGTGGGAAACCAGTATTGGGCTACAGTGGGAAACCAGTATTGGGCTACAGTGGGAAACCAGTATTGGGCTACAGTGGGAAACCAGTATTGGGCTGCAGTGGGAAATCAGTATTGGGCTACAGTGGGAAACCAGTATTGGGCTACAGTGGGAAATCAGTATTGGGCTACAGTGGGAAACCAGTATTGGGCTGCAGTGGGAAACCAGTATTGGGCTACAGTGGGAAACCAGTATTGGGCTACAGTGGGAAACCAGTATTGGCTCGGGGTGATATGGCCTCTGACTCCACTGGCAGATATTTGATCACGTTTAAGCGTTAAACCCGTAAGAGGCGTGAATCGTGATCTCGCTGCAGCAATGGAAAGCAGGAACAGCTGAGGGCAGATGATCAGTGTTGTGTCGTGGCAGTGGAGGAGGAGGAGACGCTGCTGGTCTGTTCTGGGAACAGAGAGGATTATTAACCAGCTGCTGGTGAGCGAGTGTAGCCGCTCTCTCTCTCTCTCTGTCTGTGACATCACGTCGAGCATCACGGCCTGCTTCTGCTGCTCTGTTCTTCAGCTGTCGTTTGCACATGACGACGAGGATGATGCGCTTGATTTGAGCTCAAAACAAAGAGCTTTAAAAATAGCTCAGATGCATGTGATGCGTATGAGGAAATGATGCTGTACAACACAAGCTGGAATTGATTGAAAAAGCACAAATGTCTGCAATCACAAACGTACAATAATGAAAGGCAACTCAAACATCCCTGTGCTCATTTGTTAAATACAGTGGTGGACAGAGTACAACCTAATGAAATAAAACTCATGTAATGAAGTAAAACTACTTTGTTACGGTCCTCAATTTTTAAATGATGTTTAATTAACAAAGTTCGTGAGGAGCACGTTCAGATAATGAAGACGAGAGGAGGCATTCTCTCTCAAATAACAGGATAAGGAGAGTACTCTCGTCTCCATTTAACCCTGATCCTGCTGTTCACATCCACGCTGCAGATTGTGTTGATATCCGTCTCTGTTCCCTCACAGATTGCGGAGAGAAACCACACGAGTGGATGGAGGAAGCCACAAGTCTGGCAGGTGCAACATCGTTCCACATGGATTGCTTTTGTCTCTTTTGTTACTATATGTGTTTGAAAGACTTCTTTGAGTTATGCTATATATTTTTAAACGGCTTTATGGTGTACATTGGGATGATAAATACATTTTTTGTCTTCTAACTTCTAAGATCATAATGTTGGATGTGGCGGCAACGCTAAAGAAATATGTCAACGTTTTCTAATGTTCCAGTTCCAGTTACGAAACAGTTATTTTGGATGTTCTCTGAAAGCTCTGTGTTTTAACAGAAAAACGTTCGGTTTCACTTTATCTGGATGATCTATTTAACATACAAGTATAAGTAACGTTGCACCTACATCTCCAACTCTAGTGGGAGTATTAGTAGAGTATTAGTAGAGTATTAGTAGAGTATTAGTAGAGTATTAGTAGACTGGTAGGGTTAGGGATAGAAGTGTATTTGCAAAACAGGATGTTGTATGTAGTGGTGTTGTATATTGTACAACCGTTTAGTGTTACCAAACGTTCTGTGAAAGATAGATATATAAATAATATTTAGTGCTAATGTTATAAGAACATTATAGACTAGATAACTATTGGAAGAATGGTTTATAACTTTGAGAGCGCCATGTCAGTGCATTGGCCAGTTGTTTAACGCTCATCTGTTGATTCAGTTCCTCGTCCACACACACACACACACACACAGCTTCAGCTCACAGTCTGACAGTTTCACTCTTATCATCGTTTAGCCCGATCTTCAGGAGAAGTCCAGACATGACAAAATCTCCGATAACCAAATCAGAGCAGCTGTTGAGGATAGATGACCACGACTTTACAATGAGACCAGCGTTTGGAGGTGAGCATCCGATAGATCTGAGGAATCTGTACAAACACTGACGAGGCGAGAGTCTCTGTATCGCTCTTCAATATCTTCTATGAAACACTTACTTTGTTTTGTATTTATAGATGTGTTTAGTGATTTAGTCCATTTTATGCAGTCTAATCTACTCAAGATGTTCTTCCTCAGAGTTTCTGACGTGTTTTCCAGCACAAACATCTAAATATTCATAATCAAGACACATTTGATTTGATTCAAGTCTTGTTTACTGAACGTTAAGCTTATTTCTCCGACTCCACTGGCAGACATTTGTTCTTGTTTTGAGCACAAACTCACTTCATTTAATATCTTCAGTCATTTTGCTCCTCTAGTAAATGTGTCTTGATTTAAGAATGTTTAGATATTTGAGCTGGAAAACAGAAACACTGCAAATCATTTTTGTAGTGTAAAATACTGGACACACACACACACACACTCACGCATGTATGCAAAGACTTTAGTTTATTTCTATCCGTTTTTCATCCCCGGGGAATCGAACCCACAGCATTGATGCCGTTTGAGAAACATGTTAAAATACCGTTTTACTTTCCACTGCTGACGAGTCCAGCGTTTAATAACTGGTCACATCACAGCACTTCATGAAGCCGTTGGCGGTGTGTGTGTGTGTGTGTTGTGTTCTGGCGGTGGAGATGAAGTGTCTGTCGGTGATCACCCGTGACCCACTTGCGTTTCAGTCCCTGAGCTAAAATAGGCCACACACACACACACACACACAGCGCCGCTAAATCCCGTCTGCTCACACACTCCGCATTACTGTAGGCACCCCCGACATATTCTCTAGAGTGAAATATTTCATGACAATCACATCCCTCCTCTATTATCAATAAAAGGATCCGGTTTGTGTCCGACAGGCCCTCCGATCCCCGTAGGAGTGGACGTGCAGGTGGAGAGCCTCGACACCATCTCTGAGGTGGACATGGTGAGGGTTAAAGAGCACAACATACCTGTTATTAATATTATTACTACACAAATCTAGAGTTAAAGTACAGGTAAGGGTTATTATACAGTAATGGCCAAAAGTGATGTCCGGAGGGGGGTTCGATTAAACCATCCACATATGAGGAAAATATTCTATATTTTTTTATATATTTAAATTATGAGGGAAGAACAAACACTAACTTAGTGAAAGTATTTATCTGAAAATTATTTGCAAACTACAACTGCAGGAAAAAGCATAAACTGACTATGGCATAATCAGTTATTAATATTTCGCCGGTTCTCTTGGTGTTTTATTTGTTCATGATTTCTTTGTATGACAGTCTGGTCCAAAATTATGTTGCACAATTTAGCATTTCATTGCATTATTATTATAAACAAAACAATCGACTCCAAGCACAACTACGCAATATGACTACAAAAATATTTGACCAATTTTTATTAATATTTGTACTTAACCGTACTATACTATTACTGTACTATACTTGAATCAACGGGATATTTGCGTCTGGAAGAGTCATGTGGAAAGTGCTGATGAGTGTTTACAGTACAGTATTGCGTACTGGTGGTTATTAATCATTAATGTCAGTATTCATTGCGTGTGTCGGATGTAAGATCGTCCCTCGCCTCTCTTGAACTGGTTCAGATGTTTTCTATTCTGTGTTCATATCTCAGTGTGTTTAACATCTGACGTTTCCCCTCAGGATTTTACGATGACGCTGTATTTGAGGCATTACTGGAAAGACGAGCGCTTGTCCTTCCAGAGCACCAACAACCAAAGCATGACCTTCGACAGCCGGCTGGTGAAGAAGATCTGGGTGCCCGACATGTTCTTCGTCCACTCCAAAAGATCCTTCATCCACGACACAACCACCGACAACGTGATGTTACGAGTGCATCCAGACGGCAACGTCCTCTACAGTCTGAGGTGAACCCGTCTAATCATCTCGATCCTGAACTCAACTCAGAATACGGCACTAAACATTTGAGAATAAAGCGTTTCTATCCCGTGTTCAGGAGATTAAAATCATCACTTCCTGGGAAATTGGCGTAAAATATCAGTAATAAACTGTAAGTTTCTACAATCGGCTGCAATCCCTCCATCATAAACGAGTGTGTGTCGAGCGTCATCATAAACGAGTGTGTGTGTAGCGTCAGGCGAAACTCAGTAACCGCTGTGGTGTTCTCTGGCGTTCGGGCACTGGTGTTCGGGAACACACTCGCGTGTTTGAGACGCTTCTGGGGGGAATTACACACAATCATTCTGATTCAGAAACACCAAATCAACATCTGAGATGCTGCGATGCCATTGGTCGGCTGGTTAGTCCATTAATCTAATCACAGCCTCTGCTGGGGCAAAGTCACATGGTCATCTTTAGGGATTTATTCAGTAAAATTTGCGTTTCCATCGTAGTTTATGTGAGGGTCTTCTTGTCGAGTAAAAATAATCCGCCTCAATTTAGCACATAGTTTTTTTATGCATATTTTTAGAAATCATACACATTTTGAAGTTTCCATGCAGCATTTTTATGTGATATCCCAAAATTAAAAATAGGCAGTTGGAAAATGACAATCCTATGACAAATGACAATACAGCTCAAACTATTCAATATGCAAACACCATAAACAATACAAAATAGATATAGCTATAGAACTCTTAAAATGCAACATTTAAGGCCTGATGTATTCATGGTGAAAGAGTTTGCAGTGATATATTCGGTGATTAGAGGAGTCTGTAAATATGTGCTGCACTTTCCTCTCAGTAGAGAAAACAGTGTCAGTGTCTCTTTCAGCTTCAGTTTCTCTTATACAGCGGCTCTCGGTGTGTTCGTGTTTTTACTCGCGTCTGAACAGAAGAAATGAACTGGAGATTTACACCTCAGAGAAGGCGGAGCCTCAGAGCCACACCCCCCTGACTGTGACATCATCATCACTGGCCAATGGGAGTTCAGACACTATACATCCAGAGTTCTGGCGAGAATCTGAGTTTGCTCAGCGAGTCCCTCTGGCACTGAGTAATGATGCTCATTAACTATGCCCTTGTGTCCGAGCTGCACCAATCACATCGGGTTAGTGAACAGACACCGTTCCCTGTTGAAAGAGGAACAGAAGACGGCGCTGGAATCGTTCCTATGCAAGATAGACAGCGTTTTTTCTGTTTTGCCGACCGGATACGGCGAGAGTTAATCTAGCAGTTAGCGCCGCTGGTAGCGAAGCGTTTGGGCGTATTGTTGTGATTGGTCGTAGTATTTTCCATTTGCGTGCAGTGAGATTTTCAAACGTATGCTTGGTGCCGCCCCTCGAGCTGAGCGATGTACACAGTCAATGCCAGACCCTTAGACCCAGAATAAATAACAGTAGCAAAACTGTGACACTGGTTCCCGTCCACTTCCGATGCCACTGGAGTCCGGGGTCCTGTCTGGACTAACGCTGGATGTCTCGTGTGTTGTTGCAGAGTGACCGTCACTGCCATGTGCAACATGGACCTGAGCCGATTCCCCCTGGACACGCAGACCTGCTCACTGGAGATCGAGAGCTGTATGTACACACACACATTTCTCCATGCCATCTTACGTCCATGGTGTCGTTGAACTGAAAATTAAGACGCATGTGGTTGTGGTCATTGGAAATGTCCCTGTTTATGTGATGATGTGATTGCGTGTGCTGTTTTCTCAGATGCGTACACTGACGACGACCTCATGCTTTACTGGAAGAAGGGCAACGAGTCGTTGAACACAGACGACAGGATTTCTCTGTCCCAGTTCCTCATCCAGAAGTTCCACACCACAACTAAACTGGCGTTCTACAGCAGCACAGGTACAGCGCTCGTGCTCTCCAGTCTCTCAGAGGGTTATGCTGACATCTTTAGCTTGGCATTCAATTCTCTGAACACTGCAAACAGTTATCTCCCTACTTCTCAATTATTTCTAAAACATTTTTGTTGGAAGTTAGTCTGCAAATATTTTTTAAACTACTTTCAGATGGTTCAGAGAACATTGTTCCCTAAATAATTGCAAAACAATAAAACATTTGCATAAGATTTTTTTTAAGTCTAAAAAACTAGATATTCAAAGAACATTCAGAAGAAAAAACCTTTTTATAACTTAATGGGAACATTAATAAAATGTTTTTAGAACTTGTTTTTGTAAGTTGGGCAAACGCATGATTTCAGACCTTTTGTTGGCACACGTATCGCTGTGCTTTTCTCAACTGTTGTCAGAGTTCTTCAAGATTGCATCTGCTGTTACACTACAGTTAGTTCTGGTCCTCGAGCAGCGTACAGTAACGCCTCAGTAGCAGAGTGTTATCACCCCTCCGGCAGACTGCTGGTCTGGTCTGAGACTGCTGGTCTGAGACTGCACCAGAGCATCAGTGCTGAGGTTTAACAGTACCCCACTGAATCCTTCATTTGGAGGTATGGTGATGCAAACTCAAACTGACGGTATTAAAACTGATGGTCTAAAATGTAAGTTACTCCATATTAAAGTGACCCTGATATGCTTTTTTAAATATTACCTTTCATGTAGTGTGTAAAAGAGACTGGAATGGTGCTGAAACTGGAGTTTGGTTTGTGGTGTTCATGTCGAAAGACGCTATTTTTCTGATCCAAATCAAATCCACTTTCATGAGATTAATAATGTAAAACTCACGCCATCGTTATTGTTCGCATCACTGTGTATCAAGAGCTGTGAAAGAGCTGAGATTCAGATATGATAATGAGCATTTGGTTTCTGACCAATCACAGGAGACTGGACCATGTGACCAATCAGAGCAGACAAATCACAACAGACTGGGCCATGTGACCAATCAGAACAGACCAATCACAGCAGACTGGGTTACTGACCAATCACAGCAGACTGGGCCATGTGACCAATCAGAACAGACCAATCACAGCAGACTGGGTTACTGACCAATCACAGCAGACTGGGCCATGTGACCAATCAGAACAGACCAATCACAGCAGACTGGGTTACTGACCAATCACAGCAGACTGGGCCATGTGACCAATCAGAGCAGACCAATCACAGCAGACTGAGTTACTGACCAATCAGAGCAGACCAATCACAGCAGACTGGGTTTTCTGACTAATCAGAGCAGACCAATCACAACAGACTGAGTTACTGACCAATCAGAGCAGACCAATCACAACAGACTGAGTTACTGACCAATCAGAGCAGACCAATCACAGCAGACTGGGTTACTGACCAATCAGAGCAGACCAATCACAACAAACTGACCCATGTGACCAATCATAGCAAAGTGTTTTTAGACTTGAATGCATCAAAAAATGTAGCAGAAATTTAAAACAAAATTAGAAACCTGTAACATAACATTTAACAGCACTTTAACCTGAAGTTAACTGAAATATGACCAGCAACATCTCAGAAACGGTCCGAGCCGTAGTTCTAATGTGGTGTTTTCGAATTATAAACAGACACTAGATAAAGACACTTAAATAAAGTCTACAAAACCACTGTATGTCGAGCCACACCGGCTGCACTTTACATCTAAGCCCTCTTTCCAGGTGTTTGAACGTTTCCCCCGTTATGTTGGTGGAAAACCATGTCTAAATGTCTGGCTAAACAACTTCTACAGCCAGAAAAACTTCTAGTAAAAATGCCCCAACAGCAGAACTGGCCTGCGAACACTGCCATATAATCGCAGCACTTTCATCCAGATTTGTGTTTTCCAGGCTGGTATAATCGGCTCTACATACACTTCACTCTCCGGCGGCACATCTTCTTCTTCCTGCTGCAGACGTACTTCCCCGCGACGCTGATGGTCATGCTGTCCTGGGTTTCGTTCTGGATCGACCGCAGAGCTGTGCCTGCAAGAGTTCCTCTCGGTACCATAAACCCCTCAAACTCTTGAGATGGAATATATATATATATATATATATATATATATAGAGAGAGAGAGAGATTATTCAGTTGTATGGAGATTATCTTAAAAAACAACCCCGATGAGCCCTCAACACTGCAAAAATGAATTTCTTTGTATTTTTGTCTTATTTTCCAGTACAAATATCAAGCAAAATGACCAGATATTAAGCCTTGCTTTTGGAAAAATGTATTCAAATTGAGTTTATGCTTAAAACAAGAACGAATATCTGCCAGTGGTGTCAGCAAATCAACTTCTTTTCCCTTTGAATTAAGTTGATGTTTATGACCCCATTTGCAGATTTGTTTCCTGTTTTACCCTAAACTCACTCAATTTTTATTCTTCGTGTTACGCAGCACGTGTGGACACTTCATGCACTCGACTGTCTTAGCTATAATTTTGTAGCATGGGGAGGGGTTTATAAAACATAGTGTGTAGTGGTCATTTGGGACACAACATATGTTCATAGCCAAGTCAGTCGAAGCGAGTGCTTTTAAAATTGTAGGGCGCATTCGAAAGAGCCTTCGAATTTGGACAGGCTTCGTCGCGCCTCTGTGATCCGGCCTACGATTTCTGCTTTAGCTTCTGAATATGGATACAGTATGTGAATAAAAGCTTTAAGTTTAATCTGTTCACCCTTTAAAGCGATCATGTCTCTTCAGAAGACTTTAGTTAAACTGCTTCATTCATTTGAATTTATTTTGAGGATATCTTTATGACCGTTTTGAAGCATCTGTTTTTTTAGGTGAATTGACTAAAGGTACATGTTTAGAATATTTATATATTAGATATTTGTGCTGGAAAACAAGACTACTTACTAAGTGCTTTCTACCTACAGTCCTAACAAGACTAAATACTGAGGAAGAAAGTAATATTTTGCAGTGAAAATGATATCCAACCAATGCTTTCACACAGGCATCACGACAGTTCTTACAATGTCCACCATCATCACCGGAGTCAATGCCTCCATGCCCAGAGTCTCCTACATCAAAGCCGTGGACATTTACCTGTGGGTCAGCTTCGTCTTCGTCTTCCTCTCTGTCATCGAGTACGCTGCCGTAAACTACCTGACCACCGTACAGGAGCGCCGAGAGAGGAAACTCAGGAATCAAGTAAGACGCCACTTTTCTCTTTGCCAAAATAATGACTATCTAATGCTGGTAGACCAAGATGACGAGAGGAAAAGAGCGATACAGAGAAATAATGAAGAATATTCTCCATTTAGAGCCAGTGTAAGGGTAAAACTTGCACACCAGTGGAGGACAGTCAGGAATTAGTTCCCTTTTGAGGGAACTCAACCCTGCGTCGTTGAAAACGACCTTTTGGGGACGCTCCCTTAGCGTGCGTCTCTGAAGTATGAATGAAACTAATCCAATCCTGATTGGTGTTGCGTCATGACGTAACATGTGACGGCATAACCGGGTGCATAAAAGTGACGCCGGAAGCATACACATTAGCTTTCGCTCTTCAGTAAGCGCTCTGTGTTGAAACTGTCTCTATCTATTTGGTGTTGTTTGTCTTATTTATCAGTTACTATGGTGAGTGAACAATTCGTTAGATGTCTGCACCCCTGCCCAAGATACATCACTGGTGGGACACACATCAACTTTGTGTGAATTGCTTGGGAGTGCAGCATGCACAGGCATTCATTTTTGGGTGAACTATCCCTTCAACTCGCCAGCTCATGTTCCCGCGTATGAGGAGTTGGTAGAGATTGTGACGCGTGCTTTGGCCAGACTCAACATCAGCTGGCCACAAGATAAGCAGGAAGATTCTAGTCACAGTAAATTAGACGAGAGATTCCTGCAGCACAGATCACAACTTCAGCGCTGGGGTTTGCCATTTTTCCCAGATCTACATAAAGATCTACATAAAGAGATCACTAGATCCTGGGAAAAATCCCACTCCTCTCGTATCTCACACAGTACCAGGGGCGTCGCAACCGTGGGGGATGTGGGTGTTTTAACACCCACACTTTTCCCGGTGAAAGTGTTCAACACCCGCACTTTTTCTGCCGTTTTTCCGCAGTTTTAACAAACAAACACACAAACGCCTTCCTACAGTCGCTCCTCCGTTTCTCTGGCGCTCAGTGTGTGTGTGCGCGGTGTGCGCTCGCTGCGGCTGTCTCCTCTCAAACATGACACCAGCTTTGAGTGTGTCCGGCTGATGATTGGCTGTTCTGCCTTAAGTCCCGAACTTATGGTTGTTTACATCTCCCTTTTCCAGGTACTTTGAATGAGTGTTTATGCTTTCGAGGTTTTTAAATAAGCTTGATATGTGTTTGGGAAGATGTTATGTTTATGTTTTATTGACATGTCCAGTGTTTTCATTATTATATTTCGTATTTTTGGATAAACAGTACAAGACTTGCGTTAGGCATTCTGTTTGTAATGCTGCGTAATTTGAAAAAAAAAAAAAAAAAAACGCGCTCTTTGCTCACACGATCAGCATGGTGTTCTGTGTTTTCTCCTAAATAAAAGCTCAAGGATTTATTTCTTACAAGTGAAGAAATTAGGACAAAAGTATTGTAATTTTGATAGCGTAATATAGAATATAATGACAGACTCTATATCATAACTATAAAGATGTTTGAGCCCTCTTTAGGTAAGCTACAAGTCAATGCTTTTTCGTTGTTCAATGTGCACAGGCCTGGGTCGAATCTAGTTGAAGCTCTTAATTTTGAGCTCTCAATGTGCTCCAGATTGATGCATTTAACCTTAAAATGTACCAAATTTTCTTGCGGGGGAGCATGCCCCCCAACCCCCCTAGAGGGACAGGGGTCTACGTAACATGCCCAAATTTAAATGACACATCCATCCCCCACACTTTTCAAAAGCTTGCTACGCCTCTGCACAGTACATCATGCGATTATAGCAATGTTGTGGGTGCGAGGGAGGCGGGGTATGGCAAGGTGCCGCAGATGGAGGAAGCCTTGGCGAGCTATCTTTCTCCTGAAGCAGCATCTTCACTTAAAACCCCAGTGCTGCCCAGCAGACCATGTAGAGAAACATCAGCATTAGTTTGCAGGGCATATATGGCGGCTGGTCGGGCTGGTGCGTCTCTGTATTCGCTAGCTATCTTGCAGGCGTACCAGGGTGACCTCCTTAAAGATTTAGACGAGGGACCGTCACCTGTGGATATTGCAGAATTGAGGAGGGCCACAGATTTGTCTCTTCGGGCCACTAAAGAAACGGCACGCTCCATCGGCCGTTCAATGGCAGCTATGGTGGCTACGGAAAGGCATCTGTGGCTTAATTTATCTGCCATAAAAGATAAAGACAGATCTTTCCTTATGGATGCGCCGCTTTCGCCTTCTGGCCTGTTCGGCGATGCAGTTTCGGCTGTCGTCAACAGGTTCCAGGAGGCAAAGAAACAATCTGCGGCGCTCCAGCAGTTCCTTCCTCGCCGCACTAAGTCTTTTAGGAGGGCTGGTCCAAGTGGCCAGCCACAGCCGTCAACCAGCTCCTCATACAGGCAAGAGCAGAAAGAGAGCGTTGCCTCTAGAGCCCCTCCTCCGGGAGCTTGGCAACAAAGGAAACGCTCTCAACCATGACCCGCCGGCCAGAAGGGTAAATGGTAAATGGACTACATTTATATAGTGCCTTCACAGACCTAATGGCCACCAAAGCGCTTTACATTTGCCCCACATTCACATTCGCAAGGCGCCAGCCAGCTCGTCGGGAGCAGCTGGGGTTTAGTGTCTTGCTCATGGACACCTCGACACTTGGTCAGGTGGAACCGGGGATTAAACCACCAATCTTTCAGTTCGTAGACAACCCACATGAACCACTGAGCCACTGCTGCCCCAGAAGGGTGACCTGAGGGCTGTCCTTCAGGCCAAGAGAGTGGGGAAGAGGTCCTAACCAGACCCCCCAAGTTCGCAGGGGTGGTGCCGACTACAGTGTTTCCAGAACAGGCTCGGGTTATGGAACAAGAAGTACAGACTCTTCTGGCCAAAGGGGCCATAGACATTGTTCCCCTACCAGTCAGGGAGTCGGGGTTTTACAGCCGTTACTTTATAGTTCCAAAGAAGGATGGAGAAATTAGGCTGACTTTAGACTTAAGGCATCTGAATCTGGCTCTGAGGAGGTTCAGGTTCAAGATGTTCACCAATCCCATCAAATCAGATCTGAGGATGTGTTGTCACAATAGATCTAAAAGACGCCTATTTTCATGTATCCATCCTTCCATGTCACAGGAGGTTCCTAAGGTTCGCTTTTGGGGGCAAAGCGTACAAATATCGGGTTCTTCTGTTCGGCCTAGCACTCTCTCCCCGAACATTCACAAAGTGTATGGATGCAGCTCTGGCTCCATTGAGACTCCAGGGCATACGTATACTACATTACATCGACACATACTGGCACATTTTGGATCAGTCACGAGAGATGGCAATTCGGCATCAAGATGTAGTCCTTTCCCATATTCAGAGTTTGGGGTTGAGACTCAACACAAAAAAGTGTTAGACCAGTTCAGAGAACTACGTTTTTGGGTGTGATATGGAATTCTGTTACGATGCGGGCACACTTGTCTCCCGCACTCGTCAAGTCTATTCTAACCATGGTATCTGGAATAAGTCTAGGCCAAGCCATCACTGTAAAGCAATTTCAAAGACTGCTGGGCCTCATGGCAGCGGCATCAAACATAATACTTTTGGGTCTCATCCACATGAGGCCCCTTCAGTGGTGGCTGAACGCCAAGGGGTTTTCCCTGAGGGGAAATCCGTTCCGTATAATCCGGGTTACGCGCAGATGCCTTCGTTCCCTAGTAATTTGGAAGAAAATTGGTTTCTGTCCCAAGGACCAGTGTTGGGAGCATCATACATCTACATTTTACACCTAGGCCTGGTTAATGTGCCAAAGGTGCCATCTAGTTTGGCTCAGTCTACAGTTCTTCAGGCTTTTCATCCTCCACCACATGTGTCGGCAGAAGAGGAAAGGCTCCATTTGCTTTGTCCTGTCAGAGCTTTAAGAGTTTACCTTGAGTGGTCCTCTTCCTGGAGGAGATCGGACCAACTTCTAGTGTGCTTTGGATCACCTAGGAAGGGATTACCTGCTTCTAAACAGACTATTAGCAATTGGATGGTTCAGGCTATTACTTTAGCCTATAAGGTATGTGATTTACCTTCACCCTTGGCTATTAGGGCTCACTCTACCAGAAGTATAGCATCCTCTAGGGCCCTTCATGTAGGAGTCCCCATTCATGAAGAGATTCACGCCAAGTGAGCGTCCCCAAAAGGTCCCTTCTCAGGGAACAAGGGTTACAGTCATAACCCGAGACGTTTTCCTCAGTTACCGTCCTTAAATCTGTGCTGTATCAGAGTATCTGTCAGTTAGGAAACATTTACTTCACTACATTCCAAAGCATAATGTCATTCTTTTTACTCCATCTCATTAAAAACATATTGTTCCTTGTTATTTCGAAATGAAGAAATTGCCGACTGATAGCCAAGCCGATACGCGAGAGCCATGTTGGATTTGTGAATGAGCCGATTCTTTCCAAGGAATACATTGAATTAGTTCACAAATCGCACTGAAGGATTCATTCCTGAATCAGACTGATGCGATCGCAGCTGTTCTTGAGTCAACTCACCCATTCAAGGATCCAGACAGAATCAACCGGAATCGGGATTTTGTCAGAGCTTGAATGGCACGAAAGTAAGTTGCTAAAGCCAAATTTTAGTATTAATAAATATTTTTTTAGGACATGAAAGTCAGTTATTTGTGAACTAAATCTGCTGTAAAAGTATATAAGTATAATGTATAACAAGTAAAAACTTCAACTGACTAGTACTGACTAGGATAAATAATAAACATGGTTCATTGATCAGAGCTTTATTAATAGTTAAGTACATAAAAAATTAATAAAAATTTTATTAAATAAATTGAAAATTAGTGCTTTAATACTTATACTGAAGTATTATTTTATTAGGGTATCGCCACTTTTCCTCAAGTCCTTGATGTGTGTACTTGTCCACCACTGTCCATCCCACAGCACTACTTTTCCTTTGTTTTTCAATGTAAATGCAACAGACGGACGTGTTTAAGCATTGCACTTGTGCATTTTGCATTGTTGCGCGTACAACACAGCGTTCTAAAAACAGGCACTCAAGTTAAAAGAAGTTCACGTTTTAAAAACACGCACCTCTAGACCTTGTGTTTTTCCCCGTTTCACTGACCTTCGTCTCTTACGTTCTGGATGAACCGGCCCCTAACATGTCCGTCTCTCCTTTGTTTTATGGCTCAACATTGCAGTTGCCTTGCACATGTGGAATAGCAAACCCAGACGAGGACATGATGATGACCACATGCTACAGCGGCGTGGATCCCAACACAACGGGGACCTACGGAATGCCGGAGAACGGCGGGAGGCAGGAGAGGATCTTGGCCCAGCTTACCCTCGCCGACGGTCCGAGTACGAGTCGGGTCAGAACCTCACGGGGCTACGTCAACATCTGGATAGACACTCATGCCATAGACAAGTACTCACGAGTGGTCTTTCCCGGCGCGTACACCCTCTTTAACATCATCTACTGGTCCATCTACTCCTAACTGGACCCGTCCACCCCAGTGGCGCAGAGAACGCTGAACGACTGGACCACTGGGTCGCTCCGCCTTCATGATCCAGTGTCTCTGACATTTTTTTTCTGTTTGTCTTGTATGTTTTTGTTATTTAATGACAGCTACTTTTTGAGGATATATTTGTTTGAATAATCTGTTATTCAAACAAATAAAAAGGAAGAATTGTCTAGGAATCAGAGAACTGATCTGGGAAAAGCCTGATATACTCAGCGATTAGAGGAATCTGTAAATATGTGCTGCTCTTTCCTCTCAGTAACAGAATAAACAGAGAAAACAGCAGTTCAGAAAGCATCTGATCACAGAGATGTGGATGTTTGAAACATCTGAGATCTACAGTAATGTTTATACCGCACTTTATACCGATTACTTTAAATCAGCAGCTGTACAGTGTTAAACATGAAAAACAGTGTCACCGTCTCTTTCAGCTTCAGTTTCTGCTATACAGCGGCTCTCAGTGTGTTCGTGTTTTTACTCGCATCTGAACAGGAGATTTACACCTCAGAGAAGGCGGAGCCTCAGAGCCACACCCACCTGTGACATCATCATCACTGACCAGAGCCACACCCACATATTACATCTTCACCACTGACCAGAGCCACACCCACCTATGACATCATCACCACAGACCAGAGCCACACCCACATATTACATCATCACCACCGACCAATGAGAGTTCAGAGCTGTTTACCAGCCTGAACAAACATTTCCAGATTCACTCCAAACAAATTCGTTTTGACCTGTTTTTGTTCGAAATTAATGACGTCACACCAGTTCATTCTTCGATTTCGCTTCAAGTATTTAGGAGCCTTTATGAAGCGACAAGAATATCTGTTCTAAGAACATTTTCGCTAACATTCCCATTAAGTTATGAAAACATATCTGAATGTTCAGAACAGTTTTATTAAAAACACATGTGGAGGTGATCAGTGTAAGTGTACAGCAGCTCTTCACACAAAACATCTCATAATCAATCAGAAATCAAGTCTCGGCTGCCGTTCACATGAAGCTTTCTGCAGGATTCGGATCTTTTCTATTGACATGTTAAATATGAAACCTTTATAACACAACATTACAATATCTATATTTACTAATGCTTTTATAATGTCATTTTTCATGTTTACTATTAACTGTGCTGTGTTACATATTAGGTATGAAAAAAAGCATAGTTTATTTTTATGTTTATTTTTATTCAACAGAAGAAAAATCAACCATTGATATTGTTTGATTACTCTGCTGGACATATGGATGATCTCAGACCTGTGTTAATCCCGAATCACACGAGCGTGTTGTGTTCTGGACGGTCTAGTAATCTCCGTTCTCCACTCTCTGACTGATACCAGCTCGTAGATGTAGTTATTGTTTGTGTCACGACTCTTAGGATCATATTTCGTGATTTAGCTCATGATTTACACTTTTTATGATTGTTGTAGAATTTTATACAAGCCCTATTTAAACCTGTGACTTCATCACACTGGATATAAATAAACAGCATTTTATTAAGCTTCTTGTTTCAAGTTGTTTTAATAAATGCTATTTCCATTACACAAGCATTTATTTCTGAAGTACAGCTTCAATCTTTCCATGAAAATCTTCTAGAGAAGAATCAATGGAATCTTTCCATTTCCCAAAATTATATTTTTTGAATATTCTTCACATAAAAAAAGTAAGAACTGTTCAATGAAAGTTTATTTGCGAAAGCTTTCTTGTGTGTCCTTCATCCTCTCTGGTGATCACAGTGATTTCTTGTTTGCTCAGTGTGCTTTCTGTGTTGAATGTGATTATGAATGGGAATCTAACCTGGTTTACTCGGTTCCACTTCACAGGAGAAAAAGCTTTCTGTCAACTCAGGATCAGGGCTGTGAAGAAACAAATTACAAATACTCACGTTACTGTAATTAAGAACCCGATTTTCCCTACTGTTTTAAGTCATTTGCAACAGCAAGAAAATGATTTATCAGAATTCAAACGGTAATATGCTGTATATTTTCTAGATCATGATTATTTTACCATATTCACGACTCTTGCGGTGCTCTCCGCCATTTTGAAAAGTTCAAAGGTTATCTCATCTCGGCAACTCGTCCATCAAAATATTCTACGAGTTGCCCAGCCGTCGGCTTTTGGTATTTACCATAATTAGCATAGCACATGAACGCATTTCTCTCCAGTTGTTTTCAGAGACTGGTCTGACAGAGTCGACCTTTAGATCAGGAGTGCCCGATCCTGCTCCTGCCGATCGGCTGTCCCGCACAGCTCATCTCCAGCCCTAATCAAACACACCAATTAAGCTCTTCAGGATCAATTAAAGGCAGGTGTGATTGATTAGGGTTGGAGATGAGCTGCGCAACAGTAAATAACACATAATTAGTACATACAATGGAGAATAGACATTTACCCAGTCCAAGAAAAGAGGCTAATGGTCCACTAGCGTACCACAGCACAGTCCCGAGGGCGGTGTCCATTCTCCCAGAGACGGCTCTGATGGACACTATTAAGGGATCCTCTCTGGAGGAAATGTGTGCAGTTGATCCTCTTTGACAATCACCAAATGTTATCACTGTCTCACCTAAGACAGTTTCTACTGTTCAGCAAATATCTGAACAGGTATAAATTGCTTTATGTTAAAATATATCAAGGTATATTAAGTACCTGGTGGTTTTGTTGTGAATCATGGAGAACTAATAAAATGTTCTCTTTGCAGGAATTGCTTTTCTGGTTTTATTGACCCACTAGTTCTTTCCTGACCTTATCTGGTAGAGCTGACCCACACGGGGCGCGGGGTCAGCCGGGGGTCGCTTGCCGCCGGCCGGCAAATAAGGAAGGGCCGGCTGGTTACCGCCTGTCTTTATACCTGTATAATTTGATATACCATCTCCTGAAAACTCACCTTTAGTGAGGCTGACCCATACAGGTGTGTTGATATTCACAGAACCTGGATCACCTGTGTAACCTGCCCTTTGGGAGTACAACTTATAATACATTATTATAAATACTATTAGATGTTGGAATTAAACATGTGCAATATGACGACATGCTGTGCATGAAAATTTCTTTATGCAACATGAGCAGTAAATGTGGCCCTCTAGTGGCTGATGGGTAAACTGCAGGGCACTCGTGGAGGAACACTTTGTTGGTAATTCTGCGAGGAGTGCTTCGGCTCAGCTCTTCAGCGCGGATGAAGATGATGGTTTGATTTTAACCGTAACGTGTGAAATGTTGGTGGTTGTTGAAGAGATCACCCTTCCATATGTAAAAGCCATATATAAATTAAACGAATTATATTTTTATAAATTACATTTCCAGCAAAATCCGACCCGATACGACAGCTCAAATTATACATCATTATTATAAGCTCACACCAGAATGCAAAGCACACGACCAACACTGATTTGAGTCCATTTATACAGAACAGGAAAAAAGACAACAAAGATCAAACGTCATGCATATTTCAGGGTTTTTCACGTCTTTATTTTTCATTGTTTTAAACAGGCTTTTGAAGCAATGCATGCTTCGTAATCTCAGGTTTTTGCACAGGCTGATCATGGAACTTAAAGGGATAGTTCACCCAAAACTGAAGTTTATCCCATGATTCCCTCACACTGAAGTCCTCTAGGTGTGTATGACGTTATGAGTTATATTTACACACGTCTGGCTCTTCCAGCTTGAGCTCCGCAGGGTTGCAGGGGTTAATAACGGCCTTCTGAAGTGAAGTGGAAAATACACATATTTCAAACTTTATAAACTATAATTACTGGCTTCCGACAGACCGCCGTATGCATCGATTTACACTGAAAGACTAACCTCTGACCTGACACACAGCGTGATGACGAGCGCGGAGGATAGCGCCAGACACACCGGTTGAATTAGCCGTTTAGAAATGTGGGAGGATTTCTATATAATAGGAGCATGAGTTTATAGCCCAGTCCTGTTTGTTTAAACCGCGAGAAAAGTCAAAAGTTACTCCTACATCCGACAGCACGTGTGTCACGGGTTACTCGTGTAGTACGTGTACGACCATCTGGCAGGAGCTAGTCGTTTTAGATTATAAAGTTATTAATATAGGTATTTTTCTAACAAAATCCCATGGCTTCAGAAGGCCTTTATTAACCCACCGGAGCCTGTGGAGCACTTTAATCATATATAGATGCACTTTAATCATATATAGATGGACTTTAATCATGTATAGATGCACTTTAGTAATATATAGATGCACTTTAATCATATATAGATGCACTTTTATGATGGACAGATGCACTTTTATGATGGACAGATGCACTTTTATGGGCTTCAAATTTTCACCAGCCATTCACAGCCATTATAAGCTTGAAAGAGCCAGGGCATTTTTAATCTAACTCTGATTGTATTTGTCTGAAAGAAGAGTCATATACACCCAGGATGCCTTTGGGGTGAGTACATTTTCATTTTTGGGTGAACTATCCCTTTAAGAAAACACTAGTTTAAAAGAGAGGAAATGACGTCTCCTCACAGACGCACGTGAATGCGCTTCACTGTCGGCCAAACCTTCAGTCATTCGTCCATTATATCACTGTCAGTGATGGTACTGCCCCCCTCGGCCTCCTCTCCTCCATCGCCCTCCTCCTCCTCCTCCTCTTCCTCCTCCTCCTCTTCCTCCTCCATCAGTTCTCTTCCTCCACATGGGCATCTCCGGCAGAGGCGCCTGGATCTCCGACGGCCGTCCCCCGCGATCAGGAACTCGTCCCATCAGGATCTGCCGATTACACCACACTCAAATCATCAAGTCAACTCGCCTTCATTTATCATCATCATTATCTTAAAAAGCATGGCGTGAGCTGGCGTGAGATGGCGTGAGCTGGCGTGAGCTGGCGTACCCTGTTGACGGCGCAGGCGGTGTTTTCTCGGCTCGAGCCGCTGCTGGTCTTCCTCACGTAGCAGACGTCCTCTCGAGCGGCGAGCAGATGCGCCACACACACCGCCGGCTGCAGCGGCAGACAGAAGCGCTTCGGCTGATACGCCCGCGCCATCCTGTCAACCCGGACCTGGAGAACAAACACAGAAACTCACAGCTGTGCCAACACTCCACATCAGACGCGGCAGCGCCAGTTTCTGCTATACAGCGGCTCTCAGTGTGATCGTGTTGAACAGAAGAAATGAACCAGAGATTTACAACTCAGAGAAGGCGGAGCCTCAGAGCCACACCCACCTATGACATCATCACCACCGACCAATGGGAGTTGGTCACAATTGCAGTATTTATAGACTGACTAGTTTCTCATAATTCTGAATATTTTCTTTGCAATCACGAGTTTATGTCTCCATTTATGACTCAGCTTTTACAGAGATAACAGGAAAATAATGCAACAAAGTTTGATTCTAGAAGAAAATAGCATCACAGTCCAGCTTAAGAAAGTTCAGTGATGCTTCATTTTTGTTTAAACTAAATTATTAATTTATATATATATATACAGCCACTCTGGAGAAAGCCGTGATGTCATTGACCGGTTTAGTTCTCATATAATGGTGTCAATGCAGGAGATTATAATATTGTTGAATATTAAATTAAATGTTTTTACCTCAACTTCTGACTTTTTTCTTCCTAATTACGAGATATTTAAATTTCGGACACTTTTTCTTCGTAATTACGAATTTCTCAATTTATAACTTTTTTCTTTGATAGAATGTATCAAAGAAATACATTCCGAGGCCGGTGGTCCGATTGCTAATGAGCAGCACCTGCGAAGCACACCGGTCTCGCATCTCTCACGAAGGAGCGGAGCCATAAAGGGGGAGCGACGGAGTGGATGATCGAGAGAGGAACAGGCCTGATTTTGTTTGGGTTTTATATTTTTTTTGGTAAGCCAGCAGTCGTCCGTGAGGGGCTGCTGGCCGGTATTTTGTTTGTTTATTTCATTTAAATATTTTTATTTTTTGATTGTTATCCGGTTCCTGCCTCCTTCTTCCCTAAACCTTGCTACAGTGTTTAAAAGCTAGACAGTGTCGTGTGTCAGGCTGGACCAGAATATTAGAATATTCGTTCGGGTGGGTTGGTATTCGATTTGAAAACGTGACATTCGAATAATCGTTTTTTTTTTTTTTTTGCACACCTGGCATCCCAATCGAAACGGTTCTCATTCGTGCTTGAATATGTTTTACAGTATAAAATCTGGTGAAATATAATACTTAACATAAAACTTCGTTATAGCTATTTAATAAATGTATTTGCTTCTTCTTGGACGACTAAAAGCGTTCCTGCAACGGGAGTATACTCTGGCTAGAGAGCAGAAAACAGCGGAGTTTATCTGGACAGAAGTGCATGCCTGCGCTTGTACGTATTTTGGGTTAAGCTGCATTGCTTTGACATTGTGGAAAACAGAATAATAGAAACGAAATGTATTATCCTTTTTATACGTTATTATCGATCTAAATGAATTACTGCGAGACTTTGAGATTTTACTGGGATCTCACGTCACAATTTCATTTTTTTTATAATTATTCCGTTTTTCTATATTTAAGTTATTCGTTTTCATTTATTTAAATTTTGTTTTTATATATTTAAATTTCATTTTTATTCATTTAAATTTCGTTTTTATTAATTATTCGTTTTTCTTTATTCATGTGTGTGTTTTATAACACAAATGCAGTGTCCGTTCTCGGAGCATACGTTCTGCTCGTGTGAGGTGCGCCGCTTCCCGCTCGCGCTGTTCTCTAGTTTATTAAAAGTTTATCAATTCTGAACGTGTCGCGTCTCGCCTGTCTATCTATATTGCACCATATAGAGATTGAGGCCC